GGGCCGCGCCGCTGCGTGGGGGCTGGTGCCGCCGCCCGGCGGCGGGGAAGGGGCCGCGGCCGCGCCTCACGCGCCGTAGGTGCCGGCGCGGGGCCGCCAGCGGAGCCCCCTCTCATTTAGTTCCCTTCCCGAGACCCCACTCGAAGCTGGGAAGCATCGACGCGTCTGGCTCTGAGGTTTGTGCGCGGCTTTCCCCCCCTTTTTTTGGGGAGTAGGGTGGAGGGAGAGCGGTTGTTTTCATCCGTTTCCCAGCGTTTCTTCCCCGGTAGCCAGGTCGGGGCCGTGTCCGCGCCGCGGGTGCGCGCGAGTCAGGTGCCGCGAGCGGGCGCGTGACGGCGCGTCCCGAGGGAAAACGCGCCGGGGAGCGGCGCCTCCCGCCTGGAAAAGTTGGGAAGTTTGCTGTTTAGTGTGGAGAGGGAAAAAAAAAAAAAAATCCTAACAGAACAAAAAACGAAGCGCTTGTAACTTAAAAGTTCCGCATTTCTTCGGGAAGCAGTCCGTTGTAGTAAATTGTTTAAAACAATGGGATCCAGGCGGGCTTTGCTGTCCCAGCAGGCGCTCCTGTCAGTGACCGGATCACGGCRTTGCGTAACTGGAGTCCACTGACTCCAGCGTGAGTGTTAAACAAGGAGCCCCTTATTTATGGAGCCCGTTGCTCTCCGAGAGTTGTGTGGCTTGCAAGTTTCTCAATGAGCCTAAAAACCCTTGGCTTAACGAGGATTTGGCGCTGCCTTGGGTTAGAGCTGGAGGAAAGCCTCTTTCCCGGGTTTTCGTTGTAGTATCCGCCGCCCCGCAGGAAGGGAGGCGGCTGGAGAAGTCGGTGTGGGATCCGTGTGGGATCCAGCGGCTCTGGAGTGTGTGACACGAGGGCTTCCTGGGGCTCCCTCCTATCCTGTTTCAAGTGTAGCAATCCAGCGCTTCCCCTGAGCATTCCCAGCTCCTCCTTTCATTCCAAACTTGCTGTTGGAAACCGAGCTGAGCCAGGTAGAAGCTGGGGAGCGGGAAGCGTATTCCTTCTGTAAAATAATGTAAATAGCGGGCGAGAGGGAGCGTGGCGGTGGGGGCTTTATCCTAGGAAAGCAGCCGGTGGTTGGCACCATCTGAAGGCGTCTCTGCAGCGGTGATTCTGCTGCTGCTGCCTTAGTGTCCTGGCACGAGACCCATCTGCACCGGAGCTGGGATACGGAGCTGCCTCTGCACTGCTGGGAACTCCTGCCTTGCCCAAAAGCTGCTCRGCAAATTCCTTTCTGCTGCCTCTGCCATGCAAATTGACCGTAAGCTTAGGTATCTGCAGAAAAGTCTTAAAGATTGTGACCCTCATCTGAGGATTGGATTTATAAACTGTGAATTTTATATCAATGTATTTTGGCTTTTTTCAACGCTATTGCAATTCAYAGCAAGTAAATATTTTAAATATCTGGTTAATGATACATTTACCGTACAATATGTTCCTACAAAACTTATATATAAATATATTTATGAATATAGTAAGTTCTGACATAATATCTATGCACGCTTCTTTTTATTAGAAAATGCATCAGATTAAACAATCTGCTGTGCCTGTAGCTCACTTCACCTAACACTTTCATTAGTTGAATACTTTTCTATTACTGCTAAGAGTTTTGGGCATCTGGGCAGTGCATTGATGGTGCCAGCCCCCCCCCGTTTTTTTTTAGTGGGCAAGTTTACTATGTTAGTTTGAGTCAAGAAGTCACCAAGAAGCAAATTTTGGTCATCACCATTTAATGTGCTTTGTCTGAAAGCAAGATGGTCTTGCAAAACAAAAGAAGCTAAACCAGAAAATGCTCCCTGGGAACAAATCTAACACACTTCAGCTGTTAATGACCATCCTGTCAACGGGAGCAAATTAAACTAGTCTGAAATTAAAAACTGCTGGAGCATGTCTGATGCAGATGGTGGGTATGCAATACCGCGTGCTTTGCTCTTGTTTAGGTGCACTGCTGGCTAATAGGGGTTTATTTGAAGCAGAAAATAATTTCAGTAACTTAAACAGAGCCRAAGAAAGGGATTTAGATCTCAGCCAGGCTATAGGAGAGAGCCTTGGCCCCAATGCAAGTGTGACTGACTTCTTTCACACTAAGTGATGCCGGGGCTACTCTCCTTTGTGATATGTGGACTTAAGTCACGTTGGGAACTGTTAGGTGCTGTACTGGGAGCTGCTGGATCATCCAAGCCCAGYGGGAGCCAGGAGGGGCCTGTGACATTTCTGCTCCCTGGGATGCTGCCACGCGAGCGGCCTTGTCCCACCACGAGGCAGAGGAGCTCTCGAAGCTCTCGAGCCATTGCTGCCAGTTCAAAACATCTCCTTGTAGCCGTGTTCCCAAAGCTTCGAACACCCTGTGTGTGTCTATATAGTTACTATATAGTGAAAGCACTGGGGGTTTTGCTTTTCCTGGCTGAGGGAAGTGTCTCAAGAGCTGTCCTCAATCATTCTTGCTGACGTGGGTTCATTTCGTACTTGTTTACTTACTTGTGTTCACTCACATTTCATATTTATTTCAAACATGGGAATGCAAATACCGCCCTGCAATTAGGAAACGCRTTTAGTTTTTGCTGCAGTCGGTTTGATTGATTGTGTCTATCACATGAACCAGATTGACAGTCCCCCGTTTCACAACACCCCGCAGCCCTGTGGTTAGTTTAGTCCTGGGCCGAATGGGTGGTGACTCGGATTCTATTAACCCAAAGAGAGAGCATCCAATGCGCRTCTCATGTGAGTCCTTCTGGTATTTTGTTAAAACAGGGCGCTGCTGCCTTGTTTGTTTGTTTGAGATTAGCTTAATTTTATGTTACTTTCTTTGAAAAGCACCAAAAAAAAGAATTTTGATTTGTAATGCCTTTGTTGTAGGAAAAATACCCAAGCTTATTTATCCTTTCCCCCTAAAACTAATTCCATTTTAATAGGCCCCCAAAGTGGAAAAATAGTTCTTACCACCACACTGATCTTTATATGTGTACTTGTAAAGTGTATGTAATCTATTCAAGCTACAAAATATGCCCAGTTAACATTGTTGCAATATTATATATTGTATGTATATATATATACGTAAGCAATAAAGTTATAGAAGTGTTTTGAAACAATCTTGCTTTGAAAACAGATCTGTCCTACTTCAGTGAGTATATGTAATRTGCTTAGCTGAAAGAACATATATTTGCAAATACAATTTACTGTATTTGACTCRGGTCATTTGTGTTATTGCATGATTTGTATAGTCTGCTCTGTACATCTGACAATTCTGAGCAAAATTTTGTATGCTGCACAGCTAAAGTATGTACCTTTTTAAAATTGCTGACTTCTTTAATAAAACAAAMTATCATTTAAATCATGAAAGAAAGCTGAAATAAGATTGTGAAAGATGCATTTTTATTTTRATATTGAAAATCCAGATGGTGACCTGAAAGGCATGTTTTAAACTATATAGATGTAATTTTAGAGCAGCATTCTATATTTATATTAACAAAAAGTCCATAACAAAAAGTTATGATGATATTTCTGTCCTCCCCTGCAGATACTGTTCTTGAAGCATGGATCATCCGGTGGATGAACCTTGAACTTCTGGATCAGAAACTGGGATTTCCCTCTGTTTTTCATGAAGGATGGCAACACCATATGTTCCTGTTCCTATTCCTATTGGGAGTTCATCTTCCAGCTTTACAGACAGAAACCAAAGAAGTTCTTCATTTGGGAGCATCTCAACAAGCTCGAGCTCCTCCAAAGGGCAGCTGGAGGACTCGGCTGTGGGTAGTTTTAAGAAGATGAGCGTGCCTGACCAGACTGGCTCTACGTCATCTGTGTGCAGTAGCCCGCTCGTTAGGACTAAGTTCACAGGTGTGGACACATCCATAGAATACTGCTCACAGCCCGTAGAAGACACAGAGCAGAACACAGATTCCAGGAGCTGGGAAGATCGACCGTCCACGCCTACTATCCTGGGTTACGAGGTGATGGAGGAAAGGGCAAAATTCACTGTAAGTTTTGGGGATGGTACCGTTCATCTTATGTAGACATTTAGGCAGTGACTGAATGTGCTTCTCTCTTTTGTGTTCTCTTTTCTAMATAAAACTTTCAGTTCAGGGATGCTGAAGCTAGATTGGTGTTTGCAAAGCACCTCAAATCAGTGTAGTCTGGCAGGAAAGCCTTTTCCTCATTTTACAGAAAAGGCAGCAGTCTTTTCTGAAGTTAGTTATTTAATAGAAATGTTTCATGCAAGTTTCACAAGTTACTCCTAGAAAAGTCAGAAATTTCTTACAAAGTTACAATTCCTTGCAAAATTGAGCTGGATACTTAAACATCCCAAAAGATTGCATTTTATTTTAAATGAACAACAAAGCACAATGATATTTACCTCTTTTATGGTTATTTAGAAACACAAACTTTTCTCAATATACCAACACTATTTACAGCTTTTGGCAYTACTGGGTTTAGTGTCAAATTGCGGAAATCTGTTTCAAAAGCCTCAGGGTGAGGGTGTCACATGAGTGGTATCTCTTGGCATAASACTGAACTGTTCTAAATCGATTTTTCTCGAAGAATATACTAGCTGACAATTTTATTGACMCACTGTGTGCAGATAGAGTTTTGCCTTGTGGATATGATTGAAACATTTCATTGCAGTAGTTAAAGAATGTTGACTAATAGAAGTTGGTTGGGTACTGATTGCTAGTTCCCTGATWTTCTTTTAGGATACTTGACATACTAGTGAAATCATCAAGGTCTTATAGTGTTACTAAATCAAATACTGCTATTTTTTAATTATCTGAAAGCAATATTTGTAATAGGTTTTCGTATTGTTATGTATGCTGGTGTAAGAGAAGAAACAAGGAAAATTTTGCATCTGAGTTAAGGTTCTTTTTCAATAGTATCTTCAAAGCTAAAACTATAAATAGTATTGTTGGTAATTGGAGACCAAACCATGTCAATACAGTGGGTACTCCAGTATGTTTGTAGGATGTTACTCAATTGCATTTAAAACATAGAGTCAAGATAGTCATTGGATGTAGAAAGACAGATGACAGTACAAGTGAAACATTCTTCATAGCTAAAATTCTTGGGTGCTTTTTTGCTCTTTCTGAATTCATTTCTTACATTGCTGTGGTTGTTTCAGAGAGCAATGGAGTGTTTAGGAGAAAGCAATCCGCTGAAGATAAACTACCAATTATGCGTTAAAACTAGTTAGTGATCTAGTTAGTCRCTGTTGAAGAGTAAAATCAAGGGAAGGCAATGAAATAAAATTGAAGTCACTCTTTAAAACTGCAGAAAAGAGATTGAAACTGAAATTCATCAAAATTAAAGTAGATGGATAAARCGTATTTCACTTATCTTTCACTTTGGTAATATAGACAATATTTTCATAGAGTGGAGAATCTGTAAGTAGTTTCACAAATCTGGCAAAGAGAGAAGGTAGTTAATTATATTTAGAAAATATTACAAAATATCTTTCCCTTAATTTTCCCTGATTTTTAGTAATGCTATTAATTTGTTTTTTGAGAGTTCTTTTCTGTTTCATTAAAAGATAAAGGCTAATTTCAGCTTTCTAGCCAATATAGAATTATTTTTTCCTTTTTTTTTAACCCTAATATTCTTGTTTTTCCACACAGGTGTACAAAATACTAGTAAAAAGAAGTCCAGAGGAAAGTTGGGTGGTTTTCAGGCGGTACACTGACTTTTCCAGGCTTAATGACAAGGTGAGTGATAAATATACAGTGGTAGATTCTCAGCCAACTTGCCCCATACTTATCTCTTCTTCCTTCTTTGTTTCATGCTTCTGTCACATTTTCTTCTGCTTATGCTGCTTTACTACATATCAATCATTTACTATATCAATGAATGAAAAACACAGGATTCCTCTTTTTTTGTAGAGATTGTGCCTATGAAATAAATAATGTGTTTAATGCACTTCATACTTTAAAGGGGATGTTAGCACAAAATGTACAGGAAATTATCTTAACTATTTCTTGCTAGCCACTTTTTTCTATGTAAAATTTATTTAGATCTCAGTACATTACCCTCAGTGCAGCAGAACTTTGCTGGCGGTATAAAGAATGTCAAAATTGTCACTTGAAAGAAGACAAATAAAAAGCAGTGGCACACTAATCTAGGATAATGGAGAGAGAAGTTACTGGTATTGGTACATGAGAAACCTTTTGCTGATTTCAAAAGCAATCAATCGGAAGAAAAGAATACCCAGCAAGAGGTCAGCCTAAAGGTGTAGCACGTACTTGAAAAGAATAAACAGAATTGCTGAGTGTCAAGACAAGACTGTCACAGGATGACTAAGCAGTACATTTCTGTAAATCATTACAAACAGAAGTAATAGAAGGAGACAGGAAAATATAGGTGCAATACTTGGGAGCAAAGGATACATCAAAGACAAAAATATGTTAACTAAACCTTATAAAGTAATTTTAACAAAAACGTTATTCTGGGAGCATGTTGAAGATGATGGAATCTGAGGGTTTAGGAGCAAAAGCAGACATTTGGCGAGTTGCCTAAGCCTTGTTGGTTAAGGGCACCTAGCAGATTGGAGAAATATGTGAAAAATTCACTTCTGCTTTGAGAAAAGGTGCAAGAAGAACTTTGTRAAGTTTATTACTCTGTAAAGCTGTTGAATAAGTAATAATACAGCCAGTTCTTAAGAACAAAGAATTTAAGTTCTTTTTTTTTTTTTTTTTCGTGGGGCTGTGCAATATTTTCCTCATGTGATATGCCTGAGCTATCACATGCTGATGGAGAACACAGACATGTAGGAAAAACATGGGATCCATGAAAGCAGTTGCAGGCAGCATAACTTGTCTGACCCCCCCAGTTTTTCTTGCTGCATCAGAGGAGTTCTTGAGACTATAGCTGAAAATACAGACTACAGTTGTCAGGGTCTGCTGACAGCAAGTAGCTTTCTCAAACTCTTCACCCACAATAGGAGCAATCTGTGGGTAGACATTCCATCCCCTTGTAAAAGAAACGATGTGATCTGCATACATGGGAAATCATCAAGCAGAAATCCAGCTGGTTCAAATGCTTTCCCAGCTGTGGCTATCTGTCATCCTCACTACCATTAGATTTATACAGGACTTTATTTTCTAGATTCAGTTCCGTTCAGTATTTTGTTAAGAAATGAGGGTTATGGAGTGTGGAGGGTGCTTAGCTGAATGGTGCTAATGATAGTTTTGTAATAGGTGAAGGAACTTTGCATGACCAAAAACAAAAATAGTCTAATAACAAGAGGAAATTCAGTCTGAGAAAAAGACACCATATACTTAAGGAAAACATCAAATGCACAAAGAAAGAAGACCTTGACAATAAACTGCCATGTGGATCAAGAGCTCATAGTCACTGTGAGCTACAAATTTGTTATGCAGTAAATGTGATCTTAAAAGGCACTCTCCTCGTGATAGGAGAGAGTGCTTTTATGAACAAACATAAGCCAATACAATTGTTACAATTGTTGTTTCTTCAAAATGTTAGTGAAGTTCTAGCTGAGATACAATACTGGATTTTGCAATGTGGGTTTTTTTTGTTGTTTTGTTTGGCTTAAAGAAAAGGAAAAAAAAAAAAAAAAACTGTCTGCCAAAGAGCTACCAAGGAGCTTTTACAGAGTTYGTAAAGCGCAGTTCACAGTTAAAAACAGCCGTCTCATTGTCACAATGCTTAAATTTGCTATGCATGGATCAAGATACTCACTGAACAATTATCCTGCAGCTGTGTAAACATAGAGCATTAAAATGTATTTTGTGGAAACTCTGGAATCCCTGACATTGAAAAATTCATATGAATATATTGGGGTTTTCAGTACATCTGACAGAAGTTTGCTTGATCCTGTCTTTGCGAAAAGGTTAATTGACTCTCATGGGAATTGCGGTTACATTGTTTGTTTGTTTGTTTAAAAAAAAAAAAGACTTTTAAAAATACTCTTTTAAAAAAAAATTTTAAAGTCTTGTTCACTATAAATCCTCTTGGGGATTTTTTTGTGTGTGTGCATCAAACATTCCGGTAAGAAAACACATCTGAAAAATTGCTTTTATGAAAGCATTAGGTTTTTATTATCTTTAGGCATAGTTGAAAAATAAGTAAATTGGCATCCTTGGAGAAGCCAATCATTATATATTTTTAAGTCTACATTTAATTCCATATTTCTGAATTTAAAAAAAAAAAAACAAAAAAACTAGGTATTTCTGATACTGAATATGTGTAATTGCTCTTTAAGCAAGCCAAGAATATAATTTGTCATGACAGTACTTTTTTTTTCCATCTATGTATAAAAGAGTTTGGTTCTTTGAGGAGCTGCTCTTTGCCAGAAGTATTTCATAGGTGTGTCATAATTCATTCTGTTTCAGAAAAGTCTCCCAAGAAAAGATGAGTTGCATTCTCTGTAATGGGTTTTATATCTATATTTATATGGTAGTTCTTATTCCAGAGTACTTCAGAAGAAATATCACTGAAATGCTTACTCATCTGCCACTTAGTACTTGCATTACATTCTCTTTTGCTTACTGACTCAGAGACGTTCAGTAGCAAAGCAAAGTTGCTTTTCTTTCTGTTTTTATATAGTGAATTTGAAAGGTCATTYGATTGCCTAAGGCTAAACAGCAAGTAGTAAAACCGTGTCTAGAATGTATACTACAATCTGAATTGTACTTACAGTTGTGAGAGTTACCTARTGCTTGAACTTAACAGAAGATGAAAACAGTGTGTAATTTGAAGTTCAATGCTTAGAATAAAGTTCACCAAATTCCATATTTTATTCTGATTTTTTTTTTGTATCTCTCCGTTCATCTTTGGTTTCTGTTTCAGCTAAAAGATATGTTTCCAGGCTTTCGATTGGCCCTGCCACCAAAGCGCTGGTTCAAGGATAATTATAATCCTGACTTCTTGGAAGATCGACAGCTGGGACTACAAGCTTTCCTCCAAAACCTAGTAGCTCATAAAGATATTGCTAACTGGTACGTGATTTAAATTTTGTTTGTGGGTTGTGGGGGGTTTTGCACCCCTAGTATGGGCCATTAAACTTTAGCAACATGTTTTTGAGCCACACAGTTTAGAATTTTGTTAATGTTCATAGTGTGCATTTAGTCATTATGTGCATTATTTGGTGTCCTGTTAAACTACATTCTAATCTAAGCAAAAAAAGGACATTGCTGTATCTTGAATTGTTTATGGTTAGCTACAAACTGCATGCTGTAATATTTAATTTTAAAATATTAAACTAACCCCTTTTTTGTCTTTTTTTTTTTGTCTATTAATTTTGTCTATTAATAGTTTATATGGCAACTGAATATTAGGTTTTTGTAGTGTTAAGCTCTTGCACGCTTCAGCAGCTACTTCTTAAAATGTGCATTCAACTGACATAATAGCARTAGAAATACCATTATAGATTACTTACATAAATGTAAACCACAAATCAAGACTGAAAAAGAGTCTAAAAAAAGAAAAATGATCGTATGGTTAAGTAACCTGGTACAGAAGTCCTACCGACCAATGTCTTTTTTCCTACCAAAGTGGAAGATCCTTCCAWACCTGGTATGTGAGAACAACTTAATTTTGGTAAATGAAATAAAACATCATATTAATATAGGCCAGAAGAAAATTTCAAGCAGCAAGGTGATAGAGGCATAGCTCTTTAGTTCTAAGCATCTTTTCCAACATAAGAATTAGAAAATCTGCTGTAGAGTGAGATAAGAGCTGATCAAAAAGTAAAAGGAACATTCAGCAAAGAAAGGCTGTGGTGAAACTCCTAAATTGCTTTTTTGTACTAGCCCTCCTTGCAGAGGGACTGGGAGGTTGCTTTACCACTCCCATTGTTTTGGGAAACTACCTGAAATTACATGTCATTTGAAAAGAGAGAAGTTGTCCAGAGCAAATAGCACTAAACATTAACATTTTAAATTGCTGAGCAAGTACCTGTGGTGCTAGAGCATCTATTTTCCATTTTTAACTTAGTTTGTTAAAAGAACGGCTAGTATTACTTTTCATTTACTTAAGAACTTGAGCATTAACTTGTAGAACCATAGACCTGATCTTCTGCTACTGCTTAAATGGAAAAGAGAAGTAGTAAACAGCTGAATAAAAATAACGCACGAGAAAGCAATAATGCCATTTGCAGAAGGAAGTCTACTTTACAAATGGTTAGGAGAGAGTTTATGTAACATCTTCAAAAGGTAAGAGGAGAAGGATTGGACAGAGGCAATGAGTGTTGTTTATGAAATTGTGAATCATGGTTCTGGGCACTGATGTTCAACATATTTGGAAATAGTCTGTAAAAGGAGCGATCAAAAGGATTATGGAGTATTGTAGAAGGATCCCTAGATACTGAGTGRCTAACAGATTAAATTCCATGTCATTAAGTACAGAACAGCAGAAAGCACGTACATGAAGAATCATAGAATTAATTAGTTGTTACAGCCCAGCAGTAATGCTGGTGGTTTTCTGGAAAAACTYAGTATTTGGCAGTAATCAAAAGGGTGAATAAGAACTGTTTGAGAGGAACTTGAAAGCTAAGAGAAAATTACTTTATTGCTATGGAAATCTGAATTGCAGTTCCGCACAATGTGATACTAAAGCCCAGCATCCTTTTTCAAAAGGGAATATGCTAGAAGCACGGAGGAGGCAAGCAAGGGCAGATGGAGCTGCAGAATAGCTTCCTTACAGGAAGAATTCTGCTGAATTTAGTCTTTCCATCTTGGGAAAGAGATGACTAAACAGGGCAGGTAAAATCATGAAAGAGAGAGGGAAGGTAAGAACCCTCTTTTGTTTGTTTTGTTGTTTTGTAGTCAGTGTCACAGTAAATTATAAAGGTTTTTTGTGAGATATCAGAGGTAGAAAACATCTTTCAAAAGACATTGGGTTAAACTGTGGTATTTGTCTATGAGTGGCTATTAAACATGATTATCTGGATGAAGTATATGTCCAGATGTTTAAGAATCCCTGGTTTTTAAAATTACATAATGACATCTGTGCCAGAAGAGGAATTCTCTAAACATCCTTTCCTGTCATGTTGTGTAGCCGTGTAGACTTCTGGTCTGACTGAATRTCTCTGAAATGTCTTCTTGCAGCTAGTCTGGAATTTTGACTGTTTTGTTTGCATCTTGATGATGGTCCAAAATGACTGGACAAAACAGTAAAGATCTTTCATGATCTAATGAAAAAAAAAAAAAAGGTATGCAACTTTTGGGAGACATTTCTAAACACATTTGGAAGGGTATTTGAACATTTGTGTAATTGGTATTTTTACAGCAGGTAGATCATTGTAGTGTTTTTATTTACTTTGTTGTTTTTTTTTTTTTTTAAGGAAACTCACATTTTGTCTGTGCAAGGCCAAGAGTTTTAGGTCAGGAGTATAAAGCCTTAAGTTTTAAGTTATTTTCAGCTGTACAGTTTAGAATGTAAAGTTTCCCTCTATTGAAGATYCTCATGCTTCATGAAATTATTGAATCAGAGTGGTTTGCTCCATCTGAATTTCTTCCCTGCTTACCAAAGAATAAGAGTTACTATTGAATTAATATTTGCACCTTCCAGGAGCAGTGTGAGGATCTGGCCCCGCTTCCGCCATGAAAGCGCAGAGTTTTGTTTCAGCAGTTTTGCAAAGAAATCAGAAACTGCTTGGGTCAGATCAAAACCAAACTACTCACCTGTCTTGGTCTCCCTTGTTTCTCTTTATTCACAATATTAGTATTGAGAATTTGAGAGTGGGCAGGAAACTCACCGTTTGGATACATGACTTGCTGTATCTGCTTGATACACTAGATTCACCAAGGAGGTTATAGAATGTGGGCTGGCCTACGAGTGGAGAGGAGGGGAAGGATCCGTGCATAGCAATGCTGCTGCACAATGTGGGAGGCTTCTCTGAGCTGTCAGCACCTTCACACAGAATTTTCTCCTGTTTGTTAAATGAAGAGAAGGGGACGGATGTGCTGAGGAGAAAATGAGGTCCAAGCAGACACTCAGAGCTAGGTTGCAAATGAATACTTATACCATCAAGGGAACGTTTTTGTAGTAAAAACTAAACATGTTTCCAGTGCTTTTAAATTGCAATGACGTATGGCTTGAAGTTTCTTGATTTCTGTATACATGAGACTGAATCTACAGCTCTTGAAATCAAGATGTGGCCAAGATAAGATTTTTTGCAAGCAGCTTTAGGGAGGAGGGAACGGGTATGATCTCTTACGTAGATTATACATGTAGCTTGAATACTTATGGACATTCATTCTTTGGGATATTTTTTCACATGCAAGCATTGCTGGATGTCATGTCTAAATATTATACCTCACAACAATAAAATTATTAACAATATGTAGAAAGTAAAWATTCTAAATTACGCATTTTTTTCCTCCTACAAGTTCTTCTGRGTTAGCCTTATGTGAGGTCCTTCAGCACAATTTTCATCTTTTTGAAAGGAACAATTCAACCATAAAAGATGAACTTGAGCATTATGTTAGAAAAGGTCATTCTAAATAGGCAGATTAAACAGTTWGGAAAACAAACACACTGCTCTTTTTCCTTGAAAGACTACATTCTCTGGCTGAGGAACTATTAATTTGGTGAAATTTGCAGTTATGTTTGTTAAGGATATAACCAATTTAATGACTTGTCACTGTCCATTGCTTTTTCAGCTAGCAGGAGAATAATTTTGTTTCAAATAGGAAGTTTTTTTTTTTATTATTTTTGAGTTCTTGTGGGAAACTGTTAATTATAGAATTTCAAGCCACAGCTTGCACAGATCATGAGTTGATTGGTTCAGGTCAGTGTTGGGGAGAKTTGAAAGAGAAGGGTTCATGGTGAGGGCGTGGAGGAGCTCTCCACTGTTGGCTACATCTGTCATGTAGACTAAGTGGGAAAAGATTGGCCTAATAGGGGAAGAAGTGTTTGGGGCTGGTGTCGAGGCTGCTGAGGTAAAGGTGAAGACAAGAATTCAGAGCAAACATTGCCCAAAGAAAACGTATCTTCTGGCCTGCAACAGGGACTGGAAAACAGGCTTACTTAAATCCAGCAACTAAAGTTGAAATGCAGCAAGTGTTCTGGATGAGTATTTGTCAGAGCTGTCCTAAAACTAAAGTCATGGTGTGATCAGTTGTTGAGTGTTTGCTGAAAACGTGCTTTTCACCCCAGTTTGGTTGCCAGACCAGAACTTGTTCATCAAATTAGCAGCTGGAGGAAAATTAGACTTCTCTTATGTTTGTACTTAGTGTTTGCCTCAAATGTATGGAATGAGAGGATGGCAGAAAACTTCCTTTTGAACCTTCCCATGGGACTTACATGGGAGAAAGAGTGAATTCGTTTAGATTCACATCTACCATTCAGATTCACATCTACCTTTTTTTTGAGTTTTCATTGCAATAGATGATGACTTACGGACCTGTAAGTAGCGAGTGCAAGGCACAGAATTGCTAATAAATATATATTATTGAAGGGTATTTTAGAGTATTTGTAGAAGAATACATAAAATGGAGTAGGAAAGGTTTAGTCAGGAAATTGGGTGAAGATGTATGATTGGAGATAACTATATAATGTCTGCAGTTGGAGGTAATTAAGATACCTCATTTTGGAGTAAACCAGAGGATTGTACATATTTTTCTTCTGGCCATTGCAAAACAGTGCAGGGAGGAACACGACAACTGTTACACAATTTCAAGACAAATTCATTAGTTACACAAGTGTATTTAGCAAAACTGTGCAGTAGCATCCATAGCTCGTTAAACATGTCTTACCAAGCTGAATATGTGAGCACATCTGGCACTGTCTSTGGTTTGTTCCATTGATAAATGCTGAGCAGCCCAGGTGTACAAATTCCAGCTGCATACTTTTGCATTCACTTTTTAATTCTTATTTTCCAAGCATCTTCAGTATCAAAGTGATAAACTCCTCTTATTTTGTGGTTATCATGCAGCAATGATTTCTCTGAAGCTTTGAAAAAGCCCACTCCAAATTGGATGATGTCCTCTGTTCTCTGTTTTAAMGTTCTTAAGAGCACTTGGTGCAAATTTTTAAATTGGATTATAAGTACTCTCCCTGATTAACACACATACCTGAGACTTAATAGTTTTGTTAAAATTATTTGGAATCCTTGGGAATGATATGAAGGTAAGTTCTAAGTTCCTCAAAGATTTTTTTTTTTAAGTATCATTGTTTTTCTTTTAATTTTTTCTTTTTTTTTTTTTTTTTTTTTTTTTTTCCCTTTGTGAAGCATTGCAGTGAGAGAATTTCTTTGTCTGGATGATCCTCCGGGTCCTTTCGATAGTCTAGAAGAGAGCAGGGTAAGTATTACATAATATGACAAGAGCAAAAGATATAGTTGTTGCTAGAGTATCTAAAAATCTGCCGAGAAGTATAAATGTTGCAAATAAAACATTTTTACCTCCATTCTTTTCCAAAAAATTGTAACTGCATCTGTTTCTAAAAACTGACGTGTTATCTCTTAATAACCAGGGCACACTGGTAGCCTGGCCACTGTCCTTGATGCTTGTCCTAAGATGTCATCTCTTCCTTTTTACCTCTGTAGGCATCAGGTGAAGGGTTTCTCGAGTTTTCATATAGCTACTGATGGTAGGAGAGAATTTGTTCAGAATGTGAATAAAGGGAGCTAGTGAAGATTTAGCAGACACCTTGTCACAGTGGGTACAAATTAGACTTCCAGTCTACAGCAAATTTTTTTTTTCAGTTAAAATCTAGTGAAAGGCTTAGCTTCAACCACCAAAAGTACTGATTAATCCGGACACTTTTGGTTAGTGAAGACTTATTTTTAAAGAGTGTTTGTGCAAATAACTGATTCATGTAGTCTCATAAGACAGCAGATTTTCAAGACACATTGAGTGAAACGGACAGCTCGTGCTGTAGGCTGCAGCCTGCTTTGCCAGAAGTGTTTTGCTGGCCTGTGGAGCTGTATTAAGTGTGTCTAGAACTGGTCACGTCAGTTTTCTTCCTCTGTAGAATAAAGATGCGTTTTGGAACTGTGCATATATTGTTAATACTATAGAAATTAAAAATGTAGAGGGAAGCCCCTTCAGCTCAGTTTATTTTTACTGCTTAGGAGTGGGAGTGTTTTGGCTGTAGTTCCGTACACTGTATGTTTGAAGAATTTGGAATGTTTTATGTGTTAAAGGCTTTCATTTTATTTCTAAGAGGTATCGTTTCCTTGTTGATGAACTAAAATGATAAAATTATAGGAATTCATAGTTCATATAAATTAGGAAACACAAGCTATTTCATAGAGATTTTGATTGTATGTACCATCCTGAAGTCTCATCAAGGCTATTCTCTCAGGAGGAATTAGGAACCTTAGAAATTAATGCAAACTATTAAAATAGTGGCCAGCACAACAGTAATAAATCTAACCATTTCTGAAAAACTGTCAGATACAGTTGCTATAAAATTGTAGTCTCCGAGAGATAAAGCATCTTTTGATATAGTCTCTATCCTCCCCTTGCCCTTTCCTTTTTAATAACTGTATTCAGGACAAGTGCTGCTGGTCATATCCTTATGCCTGGACCTCTATTTTAGGACCTCCAAATCACTTCTTTCACCTGCTGTTACTGTTGTCATACAAAGCATTGCAAACAAATTATTCAGTTACTTTTTTCCTGCTACTGTAAAATACAGATTATCTTCTATAGTATTTTCTCTTATTCTGGTCTAGGAAGAATACACTGTAAAGGATCTTTATTTGTGTTACCTGCACAATTAGAATTTACTTAGGCCTTTTTATGTATGTGGTAACTTATTTATATTAGCCATCTGGCACTTAARTGTGCAACCTCCATCGACCACAGAAAGTTGGGGAAAATATTCAATAAAGCAGTCTCTTTGTCAAATACTTGGTAATTGTTTCCATGAGTCCATTCCCACCCACCTGGGTTTCATGATCCACTGAAGAAAGAGCTCGTCTTTCATCTGAGCAGTTTCTGTTGCTYTTTCAAAATTTATGGGAATGCAGAGATTTGAATTTATAATTGTACATCTGAGATTTATAATTGTACCAGACTCTGGCTGTCCAGCTCTTGAAGAATCAAAATACCTCATTACACACAGCTCCTGATAGATCTTTCTCTGTTTTAGTTCATCTTCCTGCAGGTAGAATATGCTGATGTTTTCTCCTTCAGCTTTAACCATTGACTTCCTCTATATGATGATCTGATAGATGATTTCAACTAGAGGAATAGTTAAGTAATATTCAGTGGGAGTTGTGATTCCTTTTACTGCTCTGTAGGAAAACTGAAGAAAGCATTGAAAAATTCRCCCCTAGTTGAGACTATTTTTTTATTGAACTCCTATAAAATGTTGATATTTAATACATTCTGTGGTTTAGCCGCTAACTGTATGCGGAACTAAGTCAAGAAACCTACTTGGGTTTATTATTTACCAAGAACATGTAAATTATTAAATGAGAGTTGCACATTACTGTTGGTAGACTTATTATTGCTAGTAATAGAATAGCAGGCTCTGCCAACACCTTTGTGAGTTTGTGCCTTGAATGGATGTTGCATTATACATTAGCATTATACATTAGCATTAAATTTTGAGATTGCTCACTCACATTAGTCAGGGTATAGTATGCATACATGTCATCTTAGGCAGAGAACACAAATTGCCCACCATGATGGAATAGTTGGTGGTCTTAGTATTTAATTAAACTTTTTAAAGGATTTTTCTATTGGTCTTCTCATGTTCATAACTGTAAAATTGCAGCAGCTCTGTATTGGTGTGTAACTGTGCCRCTTGCCATATATAACCTGGGCAAAGGAGAAAACGTACAGTTTTGGCTCAGTAGTCTTTATTCTTCAGCAAAAAATGCTAGAGGCTCTGGCACCTGCATCTTTGGCTTCAAAAACGTGTGAAAGAAAAGTCTATAGGAGGAGAGAGGGCTAGGAGGGAGTTCAGCTGATCTGCACAGGCAGAAAGAGTCGCAACGAGCGACAGCACATCAGAACAAGGGAACCTCTTTCTGACGGCAGCATCTATTTTGTAGTCACACGAACGTCAAGGATGCAGCAAAGTGTTTGCATTGCACTTGTGTAGTACGTGTATTGTTTCAAAGCAAAGTGACATGTATGAAAGAGAAAACTTTTTTTTTAATTAAAAGGCTTGTATAAATCTTTATGGTAATGAGTACAAAGAAAAACGGCTACAATCCAATTGCAGTTTGGTGTTTCTGAAATTAAAACAATGATCTACATGAAGTTAAATGGAAAGTATTCTTAAATCTTTTTAGGCTTTCTGTGAAACTTTGGAGGAAACAAATTACCGTCTACAGAAAGAACTGCTTGAAAAACAAAGGGAGGTTGAGTCACTGAAGAAATTGTTAAGTGAAAAACAACTTCACATAGATGCTATTGAAAGAAGAATTAGGTATGTAGAAAATGTGCAGTTTTTAGATGTTTCTTTCCACAAACATGTCTTCCCTGGCTAGTCACAACTATTTCTAATGTGTTCTTAGAAACATATTTTCCACCTGATAACTCCACATAAGGAAGTAATTTCAATGATCTTTCTCATGTATTAACTACAAAGCTGTTATTTAGTACAAACTGAGCATTTGTTCCTAAAATAACACTGATTGTTTCCTTTTTTTTATTTATTTATTTTATTATTTTAGTTCTTGTAGAGATATGGTAAAGATTCTGCCTTTGAATTCTAGTTAGGTGGAACACTTCATTAGAGATGAAGGTGATAGAAAAATTCCTTTGAGTTACAGAACTTCTTTTGTACTTAAAGTTTTGACAGAGCGTAGTGATCAAGAGATTATGCATYTATATTAATGTCTTTAACCTGTTGTTCTGAGGTGCCTGGAATGATGCAACAGATAGCTTGGAAATAGCATTGGAAATTATTTATTTAAATTCAAGGAAAGAATAGYAGAGTTCCATAATAAAACTTTTTGGTGCCAGTCTACTGAATTGTTCAACAGACCCTGGGGAGCTGATGCTGAAGTATTCAGTTAATCTGCTGATTCAGGTGTTGTGGAGTTTCCTTAGGAAAGCAGTAAATCCCCATGGGGCCCTTAAAAGCGATTTTAATAGTACTTTGGATGTTCATTCTAATATGTCCCTTCTGACTAAGGAGTTAAAGATTTGGGATATGTGGTTTAAGTTTAAACAGGTAACATAYGGAGAAGGATATAAATGTAACTGTTGTGGGTTATTACAAATTCTGCTCCAAATACCATAGTCAATTTGTTACTTTTTCCTGAAAGGAAGTAATGAGGTTGGAACAATGATAACTAAATTATGACTCTTCCTCCTAGCTTAAAAACTGCTATAGCCAATAAAAATTAATTAACTCACACTTGCCTATGATGGGTTTGTCATGCTGGGAAGTTCTTTGTTAGTAAAAAAATATGAAGACATGAATGGGAAAAAGGGGTTTTGTTTGTTTGTTTTTTTAATGCTTCCCCAAAAGAKAGATTTCATAGCACTAGGATGCCCTGTCCTGGACTGCATTAAAATTAGTTGAGGCTTTAGCTGAAGTCAAGATAAGAAATAATTCCTGGGAATTTTCAATTGTAAAAGTAAATCACTAATATCTTCCATTTATGCTGGAATAAACCTCTGACATTACAAAATTGTCTGGTGAGACTTGAACCCACCAAAAGAAGAAAATAGAATAATAATTGGTGTTACTGAAGTGGAATTTTGATTTGATGGCTTAACAGGAATTAAGTGTCTTCTGCCCTCCTTTCTCATCTAGAGGCCAAGTACTAAAGATTTATGTAATGTAGGAACAGAACAGTGGGCAAAGTCAGAGTTGTAGGAGTCAGAGTTGTAGGAGTATACATGCCTCACTGGATTTTGCCCTAACATAATAAATAATTTTAGAGTCTACTACTATTGCATTACTAATAATGCATGCTTTAAAAATGTAACAGTGGAAAGAATAGCACTTAAAACAATTAGAAAGTAGTGAAATAGAGTAAGCTTATTTTCAAGACAAATTTTCTACAAACCTTTCCAACTGAAGCAGCAGCTTTTAACACTAAATTAGTAAGTTTTCCACACCAGAAAGTATTTTGGAAACTTTTTTTTTAAAAAAAATACTAATTCTGCATGGCCATATTTTCTCTTCTTTGCCAGGCTAGTAGGATGGCCCAAAAAGCCCATTATCCATCTCTTATTGTTAATGGAAAAATACTCTGCTCTGACAAACTTACATTGAGTGTAAAATTACAATGGAGAATCTTGAGAAACTATTAAAAAAATCTTTGTGTCCTGTTTTTTCCTCTGCTTTTGGCTGTTTTGATTTTAACCTGGAAGTATTTGTGTGGCTTAGATCATCTGTTTCTAATATCTTACCTTACCTGGATTATAATCATTTCTCTGGGACTTTAATTCTTTTGTAGAGCCACTAGATTATGATGCAACAAGAAGATTAAATTCAATTTATATAGCTGGAGCAGATAAACTATTTAAATAACAATCTAGTGCAAASCCTGCCTTTCTATAAACAAAAATAATAAATGAAGTATAAAAGTATAAAAGTAATAAATGGGTCATGTAGGAGTGAGATTAATAGTTTCCCGGAAATAGCTAAGTTATAGGTGGAATAAACAGCTCTTCACTGATGAATGTTTGCAATAAATAGATTGGTGGTGCTCTGTTCTTATTTGTTATAGGGATTTATCTTTAGGAAAAATGACTCGTCAAATGTCAGGAGAAGAGAGTGAGTGCAGTGGTGAGGTGGAGTCTTCTGCAGTAGAAGCAGACCAGGGTACCCTGGGTGAGGACAGCTGGTAAATACTATTTTATTTCCCATAAAGTATGCTTTTTTTTTCTTAAAGTATATTTTTAAATGTTTGATCTTATATAAGTACTGCACAGCTGAAGAATACAGCATTTTACTGCATATATTTGTAGCTATCCCATGTTTCATACAGGCCCTCAGGACAGATTGTTTTGGGCGGGGTGCGTGTGTGGTGTGTGTATATATATGTCTATATATCACCGGAATAAGCAATAGGTGGAAGCTTTGCACGCGTGTGGTGGGTTATAGACACAACACTCTGTGGGGAATCACACTGGCTTCCATGTGAGGTGACTCACTGATGTGTCGCTGCAGCTCGGAGCGAGAGGGCCACGAGCGCGACATGGCCGCCGCAGGGATGGGCCACGAGCGCGACATGGCYGCCGCAGGGATGGGAGCCACGGCGGCGGCACCTCCAGCCCCACAAGGAGACTAGAGTGGTGGGAGCGGCGCGAGGGACAGGCCCCGTGAAGAACTCACAGCAAAGAGCGAGGGCGCATGCAGTGAATGTTTACATATAAATCCCTACGAACTGTTGACGTCGGAAAGATACTCAGTGCTGCTTTGAATTCAGTTTTTATCTAGCCTTTATATATTTAATATGTTTGGGTCTAATAAGGGCTAAAACGAGCTGAAATTTGGTTAGTGTGCGTATGCTGTGTGGCTGGCTTTTCTAGTGGAGTGATAAGAACTTCATGTTGCGTCAGCAGGCGTGTTTAACTGGCGCGTCAGATGTTGCCGCTGATGYGACACGTTGGATGTGTTCATCCGGTATTTGTGTTTTCAAGTTCTTATAGCCATAAATTAATGCTTGTTGAAGTAAAAATGGACTTGTCTTACATTTAATAAGAGTATAGAATTTGTTTTTAAATGCTAAAAATGAAGATTATTTCTCTGGAAGTTTTAATGCAATGCAATAGGAAAACTTACAGYACCAAGAGAAAAGTACTTACAGAATGGGAATATAGTTGGACATTTTAAACAAAATCTGGTCATTTTTGCTGAAGGAACGAAAGAGACCCCCCCCCCCCAAACCACTGTGTATTCACATCCCAAGAGAGCATGCATGCTGTAATGCTTTGTTTAATTTGGTAATGCTACTTTTAAATCTGGGATACCTTCACTATATGCCCACGGAACGATGTGTCAGTGAGTTTGCCTTTTACCTGGAACACTACCTCTTGCCATCTTGCAAATGCATTCATGCCTTGTTTGAAATACTCTAAATGACATGGAGATAATTGAAAGACTTGTAAAGAAGCCATATTTTTTGTTTCTGCACAGCTCTTAACTAGATTGAATCTAGTTGCAATGTATTTTTGTTTCAATGTGTTGTACACATGGGGATATTGCTGCATATGTTCTATAGCCTATTTTTCAAATTGTATTAAGACAGGAGATGCACTTTATTATAATTATGACTCCATTGTGCCAAGTTCAGTTGGCTAATTGGTTGAGAAAGGGGAGTTGCAGGGAGAGGATTATGTAGTGCCTTTTTGTATGTTACTTGTTCATTACTGCAGAGTTTTGTTACAGTGCTCTGGGTCAGCTTTGTGGAATCTCTGACAGCTTGTCTCTATTCTTCACTTATTTACTGAAAGTGCCTTGTTTTATTCTGCTTTTCCAATAGGAAGAATGTTGTTTCTGTTTTAACCTTTTTGTCTTTTTTTTTTTTCTTCCCTGTGCCACCCACATCTTTGTTTAATGTTGTTAATATGCAGTGTCTTTGTGCTGGAGTTTTCAAAGGGAACTTTGTACTTCAGGCTGTGCATACAATGACCTTTATGCAGAACTGTATAAGCCTTCCTGATGAAATAAAACTATGGACGAAACACCTGTCTTTTTCCATTGTAGAAAATATTCTGAATGTCTTGTCTGTTAAAAAGGATAATATTATTAGAAAGAGACATCTCTTACCTCACTGCTTTCATACCACTACTCAGTCTTGGTATGAGTCTTTGTACCAAAAACTGCCTGCATGAATATGAGTGAAAATTCTCTAATGACACAGCAGAAAGCTTGCTGCCCTTCTGAAGTTTAAAATGAAAAATGAGTCATCTTTCTTTTTATATTCTACCTAAATCTTTATAGATATTGAGTGAACTCAGTTTTAACACTTCTTGAAAATTCATGCAATCTTTTGTTAGATGTTGCTTATCTCTTCAAAAAGAGGACTGAACTGTGTACAGCTTACCGTAAATGTTTTTTAATTTTGAAAATGTGCTTGGAGCATATATATTAGGAATTTTTAAAGGTATTTTACTTACATATGTTTTAATTGAATTGGTGATCCCCAATGCTTTCCAAGTCTGTCCTGTACTAATTTTTTTTTCTAGTGTTCTTGCTCCCATTCTGGCACTATTTTCCACAGTCTTTCTAAAGTATGACACGCTGCTGTAGTTTTTATACAGAACATGCCAACTTGCAATAATTTCATTCATGAGAATTGGATGATGAAATTCTGGTTGAGCTTTTCCCAGTGAGTGGAGGAGTGTTTGAACTGAAATCACAGCAAAGTCAACTCATTGCAAGGGTTGCAACCAGCAACAGACCCACTTTGTTCTTGTCTGTTGTGGACAAATGGCTCTAAAGGTAATTAATAGTTCAGCTACTGATTTACAACTTTATCTCAGTTCTAGATTTTGATACTGTATCCATCTTCATCTTCCTGGACTCCTAGTTGAGATTATTTCTGAAAGTTAATAAACCTTCCTTCTTATGAACCCTCCAAAGCTCTTGTAGTCAACCCCCATTCTGTTCCCTGCTTTTGATTTGTATACTCCTAAATGAATGAAAGYGCTGAATAGCATTGAATCAAGAATGAGTTCTGAAAAAACACCCACTYCATACCTTTCCCATCCAGACAACTGTTAATTGCTGTGACTAGAATAGTCCCATTGAATGAGCTCAGGGAAGGGCACAAATTCACTAGTTCATGAAACTGCACCTGGCAGTCATAGGAGGCAGCAGCCTGCAACATGCCTTGCAGTATGTTTTTGTACCCCTTTTCATGGGTTAAGCCTTGGTTTGTTGCTTTGGGGTTTCAAGTTGCGAAGAGAAGGGGTGGGGGGTTGACAGGACCAGGTGGTCTCTTTTCCCCTGCACATCTGCATTAATCTGCTAATTAACTTGATTATTTCCCCCCCAAAACTGTGGTTTGCACTCCCCACTGAAGTACTGCTATGGAGTGGTAACAGTTACCCTGCCTGGTTTCAAATAGAGCTGATAACCTGCAGCTTTCTCTACACATTTTCATTATGCTACAGCAAGCTCTAGTCATCCCAGAGAGAGGAAGTCTGAGGATTTGTTTTGTGAAATCGGTGCTGCTACAATCAGGGTGTTTTTAATGAAACATCGTGTGCCACAAATAACTAGGCCAGAGTCCTGATTCTCCAAGGGAAGACAGAAAGCTGTGGGGAGTCCAATCCATCCTTCTGTGGTTTCTTTGTGTGTTTCAGTTAGGTCTTTGTCCCATAGATCAGTTCCTCTAGGTTTCTAGACAGATCCAACATTAAAAAATAGATATGTACTTAAAAATGGATATAATTATGTACTTCTCCTACAAAGCATAGAATGTATTTTTAAAGGATCCTTGAGTTATCTGGGCTTTAATGTCTCATATATGTCTGTTTATTTACACCAGGAAAAATGGTAACATTGGCATCTCYAAAAGAGATACCTCTTTCTAACAGTTCATATTTTGGATCAACAGTCTAATGTAGTGTATCTTTTTGTCCTACAATTTATTTTTATCTATGTTACTTTTTTAAGTGCATAAGATTTTATGTATTTCCTACCTGGAAGAAAAGATGAGAAAGGTGAAGAGATGGGAGGAAGTGGTGGCTCTGTTTCCAGTTTACAGTTCAAGACTTCTCCTGTTTGAAAATAAAGGTGAATGTGATGGTGTGTTAACCATAAGCATTCCTTCTCTAGATGTTACCTTCTGTGCTGCAAAGGGTTTATGTTCTGTGTATCCTAAGCCATTCAGAAACCTCTTTCTAGGGTTTTTTATCCTGTAACACTGGATTTTCTCTGCAATTGCTTGTTATGTTTTCCTAGTCTTATTTCTGAGGGCAGTCTCTGAATTTTTTCCTTCTCACAGGCGTGTTTCAAAGAAAACAAGTTGAATCAAGCTTGCTTTAGTAGATGTTTTTAACCTATTCTTTCCAAAGTTTGATTTATCTTTTTTATGTGATGCAGCTGTAGAGGTTTGGAACAGCGGGGAAAGTACAGATCATTGTTTTAAATAGAATAAAAAGATTATCTTCATTTTACCTTGTAAGGGATATACACAACAAACTTCAGTCACCCACACTTACAAGTACTAGCGGCTCTTAGCTGCATATGCTGTTRATTGATAGGTCATTTCATTCCATTTGAATGTCTTGAACATTATTTTGGAATAAAAGATGTTTCCCTTGAATTTCTCCTGGGGTTTATAAATGTTTATTCCAGGGTTTACTCTGATGATCGCTCCAGAGTCAGGACAGTGCTGTCATGAGATACATCTAAGCCTAACCCAATCCTTCATTTGTAAAACAACTTCGGGTGGACACATTTCATAAAGCTTCTAAATGCTGTTGTATTCACTAGCATCAAAATAAACTGAAGCCAACATTAAAGGACACTGTTCAACAAGGGTCAGTCTGAGTTATGATTAGGCTGGGTGTGAAGAGTTTTTCTCCACTGTCACTTAGAAGTGACAAGAAGGCTGAAGGAGTCTTTCAAAAGGGTGAAACTTTGTCCTTAAGGGTAATTCTGTGCAGCTGGATAAATCGGAAAGCCTCGTGTTGCAGTCACTCTTGTGAATGACACTGTAACTGAACTGGTAAGGCTTCTCTCTCAATCTCTCTCTTTACAGATGTTAATATATACAAGCCAGATCCTTACCCCGTGCTGTTTGTCTCTTGTGTAGCTCGTGACTTTTCTGTCTCCTCAAGGATGATGTTGTGAAGCGGGGGCCTTGCCTGCGCTTACCACAGCATCACCCTGGGGCTGATCCACCGTGCACAGAATCACGGAAGGGTTAAGGTTGGAAGAGACCTCTAGAGCTCATCTAGTCCAACCCCCTGCTCCAGCAGGGAAACCCAGATCACAGGGTACAGGGCGGCATCCAGGTGGGTTGTGAGGATCTCCAGAGAAGGAGCCTCCACAGCCTCCCTAGGCATCCTGTGCCAGGGCTCTGTCCTGGTGTTGTTCATGAAGATCCCAGCCTGCARACAGAGAGCAGCGCAGCTGTGGGAACTGAGGTCAGAAAGCTCCAATAGTTTCCATCAGTTAAAGCATCTGGAATGGGAATCCTGGGCTCAATTCCTAACAGTGCCTGACTCGCAGCAGCCTGAAGGGAGCTGGGGGGTTCTGTGCGGCCCCTTGCTCGTCCCCAGGAGCAGCGCTGAGATTTTCAACACGGTCCCAAGGAGGCCTTTGTCCTCCATGTGATAATCTCAACCATTCTGTGAGGCTGTGTTGGAGCAGGGGAGTTGGACTAGATGATCTCTAGGGTCCCTTCCAACCTTAACARTTATGTGATTCTGTCATCCAGATAAGTGGATCTCAGTGATGGCCAGTGACAGGACAAGGGGCAATTGGTGTAAGTCGCAACCCAGGCAGTTCCATCTGCATATGAGGAGGAACTTCTTTCCTGTAAGGGTGGCAGAGCCCTGGCACAGGCTGCCCAGGGAGGTTGTGGGGTCTCTTTCCCTGGAGATCTTCCAGACCTGCCTGGATGCTGCCCTGTGCCCCGTGCTCTGGGTGTCCCTGCTGGAGCAGGGAGTTGGACTAGATGATCTCTATAGAGGTCCCTTCCAGCCTTAACCATTCTGTGATTCAGTGATAAGTTTGTTGTTTCATACTCTGCACTCTTGTAACTGAAGAGCATCAAAGAAGTACTGCATTTATTCCCATCTTGTGCCTGAGAGATGTGTGTTGCATTACCTCTGCTAGCAAACAGGGGAAGTGAGGAAGAAAATGATTGCATGATTCACCCTAATTGCACAGTGAGTCGGCTGGTGCAGCCGTTGCCTTCCTGCTGATCCCACAGACCTGTCAGCAGGTTAAAATTAGATGATTCGGTGCTCTGGTGAGACTCCCGTCTGCATACAGGAACTGCGCCTTGGGAAAACGTGACTTGGTTTCAGACAGATCTGAATATCCTGGCTTAGAGATTATCAGCCGATTCTCTTGATGGGGGCCAGGAGGTGTATTAATTTAAACTGAACGTATTAGGATCTTTGCATTAACGTAGTGAGAAATGAGCCTCTCAAACTACCATGGATTAATACTTTCCAGCTCAAAGAAACCATGGTGGTTTAATGGAAATGCTGAGGATGACTCTCTGAAACGCTTCTCATTTGGTTGTTTCGCAATTCTGTTTCGCAGGTCTGGCAAGTATTGCTCATCYGACAAGTGCCTCACAGGAGCAGGTTGTATATCGACCTCTGAAGAGCTTAATACCAGTTCATGTGCTTCAAGATAAATAAATAAATGTAGTTTAAGAAGCAGTTGAGACATGTGGTCAATCTCCTACAGGATGCCTCCTCTTGAATTTCCTGTGGCTCTTTCCTGATTGCACTTCTAGTAATCAGATTAAGGAGTAAATAGCTTGTGGTTTGAAGGGCTCTCTCTCCCTCTGTATGTTCCTTTTATAGGAGCAGCTGGAGTTTCAGGTAAGAAAGAGGTGCACCCTATAATGGCATTTGTGTTGTACGTTTAGAGAAAGTCTGGCTCTGAAGAAGTTTTCAACATCAGTTGCTAATTCAGAGAACTTCTAGGATAGCTTGTAGTGTAATGTAAACCTGATAAAACACGGTGCAACTCTTCTTCAATGTGAGTTAAACAAGATTCCCACAACTTCTGTGGGAATCAATTGAAATAGAAGTGTCATATTCTATAGAATTTTTTGAAAATATTGAAATTGGGCGTTCCATGACATGGTGATGTGCCTAGGAAGGTCCCTACAAGGTCCTTTGTAGAAGGAGAGCCCAGATAAAGCAGCTTCCAGGGGGGATTATTTCTTTTTCATCTCACGCACTGTTTCTGGGCCTGCCCACAATGGTGCACTGGAGAATAAAATGAAGCAAATGCTGGCTCAGATTTCAGTCTAATCAGATATGGGCTATCTGATCTCCGTACTGATTCTCAGTGTGGCTGCGTCAATGGCTGAACTGCCTGGGATTTACTCGGTGATTTTTTTTTCTCCTAATGTCTTTGTGAAATGTAACCTTCCGCCTAACACTGTTTGATACAATATAGAGACAAAACCTATAGTCACGATAATGCTATTACAAACCTTTTCTAGAAGGTGTTTCTTGATCCATRCAGCAGGTTTTTCTCCTAGCTCAGCTCCCTGTTAAACTAATGCAGTGGGACACGTTTTGCCAACAGCTTTYGCAGCAGTGGGAGCTGGAGGTCTCAGCCTGGCAGGCTCAGCCATTAACTTTTCATACTTGGCAGTGCAGCCACAGGAAGGTCACGGGTAATAGCATCCATTCTACTTGGGTGTCTGTATGCAGGTTCCTTTGCGTCTTTTTTGTCTTCGCAGCAAAGTGCCAACCAAAGCGCCCAAGAAGGCATGTTTTCCTTGGAGCACTGTGACCATTCATCCTGGAACCAAAGAAAGCTGCCTGGGAAGGTTAAAAAAGGCAGGGTGATTTTGGAGATTGCCAAGGAGCCCTGAGCTACCTGTGGTCACCACTGATTTCTCTCTCTGCCGCTGCCCCATTTCTAGCTCGGCTGAGACGCTGTGACAGCCTCTTGCCAGAGGAGGTGAAGGGTTTCTTCTCTTGAGCTTTTGCTCCCATAATGTAAAGATTATGTTTACAAAGCACGGTGAGAGAACTAGAGCATTATCCCTTCATGTCTGTGATCTACTRCCTTGCTCCTAATATTCTTCTTTTATGGTTCCCTCTTTCTAGACTACTGTCGTCCTTCAAGACGACCAGTTTGTAGCATGTTGAGAACTCTAATGATACCTTAAGGGGGATACACAAGGTGTTGCAGATTATAGCTGTGCTTCTTCAAGCACATTAAAGCTTTTTTTTTTTCTTTTTTTTTTTCTTCTCCTGGAGAGTTCAACCAATCACACTAATTGCGCATGGGAATTGCAATAGAAAAACTAATACATCTGCAGAGTTTGTTCCTTAGCAGTCAAAGAGGTGAAACCCAATTCAGTCTGACTGTGCAGCCAATTCTAAGCATTGGGCCAACCTGCTGAACATGTCAGTTCAGGCTCAATTTACTTTGATGAACAAAACTTCTCTTTGGTCAAAAAAAATACCTTTAAGCGCCTCAAGAAYTCAAAGGGATTAATTCAACACTTACACACACTCAACAGCCTCAAAAGCAAATGCTGCTGTATGTTCCTGCAGGCATGGCCCCCAAGTGTCCCACCTCAGCCACTGGGCACCCCGTTTCCCTTAAGGCCRAGGGAGCYGGGCCTGTTCAGCCTGGAGAAGAGAAGGCTGAGGGGGGACCTGATCAGTGTCTATAAATACCTCAAGGGAGGCARTGAGGAGGAGGGRGCCGGCCTCTTTCCTCCCAGAGATAGGACTAGAGGAAACGGCCACAAGCTGAGGCACCAAAAGTTCCACAGGAACTTAAGGAAACATTTCTTGACATTGAGGGTGACAGAGCCCTGGMACAGGCTGCCCAGAGAGGTTGTRGAGTCTCCTACTCTGGAGATCTTTGAAACCTGCCTGGATGTAGCTCTGTGCCCCATGTTCTGGGTGACCCTGCGTGTGCAGGSGGTTGGACTAGATGACCTCTAGAGGTCCCTTCCAACCTTAACGATTCTGTGATTCCCCCCCTAGCATCCCTTTTCCCGATGGGAGCAGTGGGACAGGCTGGAAGCAGGCGCTGCGGCGGGGCCTTGGGCAGGACGCTGCAGGCAGAGCTCCACCTGGAGGTGGCTGCAACTGCAGGAGCCTTCCAAAGGCAGAGCCCAGTATGCACGCTGGGCACACGTGGCAGGGCCRTCCAGCCTGTCTGCACGCACGCCTACATCTGCGCTGTCCTCGCTGGCTTCAGGTAGCTGTACCCAGGCTCCTGCGGTAAGGCRAAGCACAAAAGCACATCTAATATTTGGCTATTTAATAATAGATCCAAAGAGTTCCATTCCTGAGGCAGCGTGTGGGTGTTCAGCAGGAGGAGGAGGCATCTGTGTAAATGCTGTTTGACTCCACAAAGCAACGGGTGCGAGAGCGGAGGCAGGGCCGCAGCCGCCCCGCAGCACCSGCAATGCAGGTCAGTGCAGGACATTTTCAGCGTCTGGCCCTGTGCCTGTCTGCGGTCCTACTGATTCTGCTCCCAAGGGCACCAAGTGGTCACGAGTCAGTCACAAACTACGTGGACAAATTGCACGGTTAGGGTCAAACCACCTGAGCAGAGCGGGTTTTCCCTGCGACACGGGTTTGACTGACACTGCTACAATGGCGGGTTTTGCAACTGCCTCTGCAATTGGGATTGAGGTAGGAAAGCATGACAGCTAGGCAAAAATGAGACTAGTGATATTAGGCATTTCTCAAGACATTGGAACTACCCTGAAGTTAAAGGGCACTCCAAAATGCCTTACAAAATGACTCATGCCTTTACAGTCCAACATTATTCTATTTCAGGCTCCACATCATGTAGAAACTGTATGATATTCTTATTACAATTATTCCACATACCTCCCCTTACTTCTTCCCAGCAGCTGTATACACACACCAGGCTTATACTGAGCTAGGCTCCATGTTCAGCAGAGGGAGCCTGAGGCTTTAAAAAGAGGCCGAGGTTTGACCATGAAGACTGAGCTCTTCTAGTAAAAAGGTGTTTTGTGCACACCGAAATAAGGAATCCCTTCAAATACAATTATCAAAGCTGAAGGAATGCAACCCAGACACCACAGAATACACTTTTTTTTTTCTTATAACTAAATCCCTGTTGTTCAAAGACTAATCCATAAAGAATCCCAAGTCTTCAGAATCTTTAAGATTACTGTATCCTAATGACAGTGCTGACAGACTACTTAATGCTTTGCTGACAGAGAAATAAAAACAATCACATAGCATGAACATGACACCAAAATATTTATTTACAGCATACAGCATATTTAAAACATATATGTTTTATTAACATGTTTTCCCCTTTTTGATGATACCCAGATTAAAATGTCCAAATTAAAAGCCCATAAATGGAAGATTCCCCAAATAAATAACAAACAGGAAAAGCAGTCAGCTCCAGCATCCCATCTGCTTCCAGAGTCCTCTTGTAAAACATGCCCAAGTTAGTTAGCTAATAGAGGGCACATTTACAGTAACACATTGACAACATTTGAGCTCATCTGCTCGCACGCTGAACAGACGGCATCTTGGCACGGAACAGAGACATATGTTSAAAAAAGAAAGAGGCCGTTGTCACAGTTTCGTCTGACTTTACATAGAAAGGAGCTCCTTCCTCAGCCGAAGTAAAAGCCTGAGCACTTGGCCAAACCCCTGAGGGAGGCTGGAAGTTGCACATCAGCTTGCAGAGGAGGAGGATGGCCTTGTGCTTCCTCCTCACTGCGCTCACATGGAAAGCACGTGCACAAAAGCTGCAGGTCCACATTTTCCAAAGCAGACTGGAAATCATTTTACTTTCAAACGGGAAGAGAGGTGTGCGTTTTGATTAGTCTGGAGAGCACRTTAAGCATGGTAGGTATCACACAAGCGATACTGGTTAAGGAGGCAGTCCCTGGAGGCCGGCGCGTGACGGGAGCCCTGGTCCCTTCCCAGAGGCCAGGCCAGGCGCTCAGGGSTGCGCGGCCGGCAGCTCCTGCTCGGTTAAGCAACCAGGACACAGCGTTTTCGGTGCCCAAGTCTGAGACTTCTGCAGACGGATTTAATCCTGGGAATGACTCAGCCACTGGCTTCGAAATAACTCAGAGTATTTGTTTTACTAATTATGCCTGTCAAGGRGGCTCCAGCTGGCTTCTTATCCTGAATTTCAGCAAGCACTGAAACTAACTGACATTTTGTTAGTATTTGGTTTCCTATAGATAGTTCATAATATATTTTGAAATTTAAGGTAGTGTTTTAAACTTTTTGCTTAAAAAAAAAAAAAAAAAGGAGTAGTTCCAGGTTTTCTCTTCTCCCAGCAGAAAGGGATAATCTTCCTTGTGCCTCCAAACCTTAGGATGGAATTACACCCTTAATCTTTTTCCAATAGGAAATTTAACTGAAATAAATTGRCAAGGCTCAAGTTCTCCACTCATATGGATCCAAACCAAAGGCAATTCCACTGCAGAGACCAAGAGTTCTGAAAAGGCAAARGCCATTTCTACGGAGTAAATTTTTGGCTTCATCCACAGAACTCAAGATRAAAGGTTCTGAGCATGCAGTGTCCAGAAATATACATGCTAATATTTATGCTTAATGTAAAATACAATAGGCACTTGGCTGAAGGCATCGGCCAGACCCAGCAAATCACAAGCTAAAGCCACCCTAAGAAGTGATCTGCCYTCTGCTTCTACAGACACCATGTCTCCCATTATTTCCTAGATGGTTCAATCACCAGTGAATTTAGAATAATTTGAAAGCAAGAAACCAAAACCACTGCTACTCTGCTTTCCAGTTTCCCCGGCCACCCTCAGTGTTTTTCTATTTTATTGTGATTGACAGCAAGCTAATAGTTCAGACCTTAAGTCTTATTTAATAAAATTTGTTCGTACAARGTAGTTTATCAAACTTCTGCTTTCCATCATAAGAGTGATTTGCCTACMTATGCAGTAGTTCAGCACTCCGAGTGGCATTTACTCCTCAAGTCAAAAAGCAGTCAGCATGGCACTAATGCACATCAGCTTTGCAAGGGTGCATTATGTTCAGCTTTCRATCAGAGTGAAAAGGTCATTTCAAATATAACACTCAGGAACTGAATACAAACAGGAACTGAATCCTCCTATGTGCAGCTGTGTGTGCATAAGTGGGATACACAGGTCCCACAAAATAGGGAGCAGTAGTAAGACATTAACTTTAAAAAAAACCAATAGCAATAAAAATACCCACATAGTGCCATCATTCTAATGGCAAAGCAAACCTTTGGCCAAGGGTGGAAAAACTCTGCTGCTTGGAGGACTGGAGAGTTTTGGCAGTTACAGAGGTTGGTTTTCGGTTTTGTTGTTTTGCCTTTAAACTAATTCAGCAATGTGGTCGTCATACAATTATTTCTAGCCAAATTGGTCTTAAAATAAAAGGTCCAGCCTGTGCAAAATGCAACCCACTGAATCGGTAATGCTATAAAATAGTATTAGAGTGCTTTACATCTGCAATATCATGTTCACGGTTACAAGAAGAGCACGCTCTTAGGAAGCCCAGGCAGCTAGCTGCTTCATATCCTCTTCATCTTCCACTCTCTTCCTGCTCGATGCTGCAGAGAGACATGAACAACAGTCACTGACTAATGCAACAAGGAAAAACATTTTACTTGCTAGCATTTAGGCTTCCACAGTGCTTTTCAGTACAACCCGCTCGTATCAGTTTACTGAGCAGCAAGCTAAACAGAGGCAACATGGTGACGAAGCTGTGACTATTCCACCCCACCTTTAGCTCACACATGGCTCCTAGCGGGAGACTCCTGCAGAGGATGCATTTCTCCCGACGGGAGCCAGGAAGGGGCACCTGGAGGCTGCCGGCTCCCACACTTGGGCCTCCACCCAGGCCGGCTGCGTGCCCTCCCCAAGGTTCCCCAAGGCACCCAGACTTAGGGAGAGTTGTGGTTTATGGATGAGGAGAAAGACATTCCTAAACACACTTTGCCCAGATGATATTCCAAAATCCACACCCATTTGTGCGTTTCTCCCCCACGTGCAGCTGCACACACACRGTGGCTGCGTAAACACCAGCCCCAGAGACCGAGCAGGGAGCAGGACACAGGAGACCTGAGCCACAGCCTCTGCTCCACCACCAGACAGCGAGCAGCTCGGGAAGGTCCCTGGGCCTTTCTCTGCCCCAGCATCCCCATCTAGAAAGCTGGGGGTGATCTGCATCACCGCATAAACGCGGCACAGAGCCATTAACTGCTGCTGCTGCTGTTATTTCACTATTTCTGTGTAACAGTAAGCATCCAGTTTGGGAAAACATGAGCCAGTTTAGCCCTTGCTAAGCTTAATATTCAGGTATTAAGCCCTTGTTTAATACTTAACCTATATAAATGTACCCAGCTCARTTCACCTGAAGCAGTCACACAAACTGATTAAGCAGCAAATCTAAGATACTAGGAAGCCCATGGGGGTGGCCTGAATTTAATAATCCTGTCAGTTGGCACAGCAGGAGCAGGCAGAGAACGTACGAGCAAACCCTAAGTACCAAGACTGTGGTTTTGCACTTTTCCTAAATCCACTTTTTTACATGAGTGGATGAGGCCACAATCCCAGTTTGAACATTTTAAACCTTTCCTCAGCGATTTAAGTGCTGTCTGCCAAAACACACATAAAGAGTGTTTGGGTTCAGCTGGTCCAGGCACTTTGTTCAACAGCAGAAYGTACCATAAGCAGTTTGCACTATGCACGTGCTGTCCTTGCCACCAAATATTTATATTCTTTAATTAGCATCAGTGCAGTCACTTTCTCTGCTGAACAAAAGGCAACAGGGACACAGTGAAAGGTGCTGTGAACAACTGCCTGTCTCTGGCTTAATTAAAAACAAAGATTAGTGCTTAGATTCAGATAAACCCATTTTGTAAATACCAAGTGAAAGATACCAGTATTTCTTTAGAAATGAAGAACGTAACAGGAAGTACAAATTTAATTAAAATACCAATGGCAAATACAAAGCCCTACCCTGTAAAGGAGGTCTCTGWCACAAACATTTGGAATCTGGGTCAGACTAATTTTAAAAAGACTGAAGATTTAAAAGACGAACAGCGGGAAAAAAAAAACCTTTCCACTCTCCACTGATCTAGCTATACATTTCACAGAAGATGTATCARCACATGTGAAAGACCAAGTTCCCCATGTTCATCTCCCCAAATCTATAAAGAATTCACCTCTAAGTGTTATTATACACAGCAAACCAGGAATCTACTCCCACGGATCAACAGACACAAACAATACTACAATGTAGTACTTTAAAAGCTATAAGAGAGTTAAGCGCATGTCTGGAATTGGCTCTTCCTCTCTCCCACCCACGTCAGAGCCCGATCCTTGGAAAGGTGGGGGGCGGGCAGGCAGCTCACCGGGGCGGGCGGGCAGCGGGCCGGCCGGCACGCTGGGCAGTCGCACCTCTGCCGTCCGCTTGTTCATCTCTTCCTGCTCCAGCTCTTCCAGCTCTGCCAACAACTCATCCTAAAGCCAAGGAAAGCACAATTTGAAAATTCATTGGCCTGCTAGTGATCTCAGTCGAGTGTTTTGGGTTTTTTAACTACCACAAAGCAACTACTGATATAACAGTTTATACCTGAAAACAAACATTGGAAAACAACATATGACCAGCACATTTACTAAATATGGGGTATAACAGCAAATCTGATTTGCAAGTTGAAACATGATTCATCCCATTTTAGAAAGCAGCCAGCTCTGCTGGTTGTAAGATAGGCTGACATTAAATGCATTATATTACTGCTCCAGCAGACTTAAGTGCAGAGTTATAGATGATTTTAAAGCAGCACTGCAATCAGAGCTGGCCTCCTGAGTCTGGTTATTCACCCTTGATGCACTCTTGGAATTTTAGCTGGACAGATGTTCTAACCCACTTTTGGAATACTAAAAAAAAAAAAAAGCTTTATACTTAAAAAAGCCAGAGGCTTACTCCTTGGCAAGAGCATCCCAAAAAAGGCAAGCTAACAATTACATGTTTGCAGAGAAACAGACCTTTGCTACTTAGACAAAACATTTTAGAAAGAAATGACAAAAGTGGTTAGGGCAAAAGGGGGATCTGCCAGGTTTCAAAATGGGCTTTCCCTACCCATTTATCCCCAACGTGGAAATTAAAATGATAGTGACATGACCACCATMTACACCTTCCTAGAACTGCTTTCCTACTTTCATTTCTTTCAAGATTAAAAAAAAAAGCTAGTTAGCCACTCTGACCTTATGCACAGAGTAAACCCCAGAACACCATTTAAAAGCTTTGACATTGGCTCTACACTTGACGATGTTCAGCTGAGAGCAGATCTTGCAAAGAAATGTGCCGGGTGGGACCCTATGTCTAACTTAAGCGCTTAGTAGCACAAATGTCCCTGTATTTTAAATTCCTAAGTGGTGTGATTACAAACTTCTTAAAAAGGAAGTGTCCAAGTCCTTAAAAAGTCAATGTAAACAGGTGCTTTTGAAGACTTGGGCGAGTGCCAACCCCCTGGCACCCGGAATTAGGCCTTAACTCCCTCTGGTGAGTGAATACCCGACCAAGAGGCGACAYTGGCCTTGAAGAACTGGCTCTCTTGAAAGAGATGGAGGAAAGAGATGGATGGGATCACTGGTTCCTCCCAACGTTTGGCACAACAGTGTAACGGCCAGGRCACACGCCCTGGAAGTGGGACATTCAGGTTTTAAGTTAAGCAGCTTAAACTTGTGTTTCCTACAACTCAACAAGAGCTCTACAGCTAAGCTGGGGTATATTGTAATAGATGCAATGAATCCTCTGCAATGAAACCAGGCCAAAAAGAGAGTACAGTAGTGAYGAGGGGAGCAGAATGCCCTCTGGAATGGGTATCAAATATCTCATATTTACTTATCAGAAACAGGCCTCCAAGCAAGGATCATCTGTCCCAAATGAGTATCCTGCTCATATAGGGCAGATGTTTTTTGCATTCTTGATTGTATACACTGTGTCATCCCAGGCATAAGTCATCCTTTTTTTTTTTTTCCTTCCTATTTGGAGAAGTATAAATCACATTTCAATTATCTCCTTGCACCTAAGGTACACAGGTGAAGAACACAAGTGTGTGGTCAAAATGTCCTTCAGAAATAAATATCATCCTGCAACCCAAACCACATCACAACACAATGATTACTGGGTCATACTGAGTCCAGATCCCTACAAGWCAGCATGGTGCTCGGGGACACTGCACTGCTGTTGGAGATGGAGGGGATTTTCAGTTGCCCAAGGCCCACTTTATAGAGCCTGAATCCATTCCTTATGCCAGTATTATTGGTACTTCAAGAAAAGTTCAATTGCACTGGAAACGGAAAAGCAGATAATGGGAAAACATAAAACCAACCATGGCTGTTTCTCAACAAACTACCAAATGTTGTATATTGAATAAACTTTCAAAAGTCAAGCAAAGAAAATATATATGTTATATCATATCTGCTTTTAATTTGGATRCACGGACATGAATTATTCGTGGTTGTTTGTAGGATTCATAGATTCTTTATGCTATGAAGTGATTCCTAGTGCTTGGCCACTTTAAAACACAGTTAAAAACAAAAAACTGGCTGAGATACTGAACCTAATTACCAGCTCAGTATTCCACAGATCAAAGCGTATTTGAATATACTGGAACCTTGAGAATTGAACCATACTTGTTGGTTGGATGCAAAAAAAAGAAACAGCCTGATTASGTTCAGAAAAAGTTCTGGGACCCTGGAAAGCTCCCACAGCAAGTTTTTAGGAATGTTCATCTAGTTTTCAAAACAAAGGAGCACAAGGATTGAATTTTCATTGCCTCTAACAGGAATAACTTTTACTCAATTAATCTGCTTCTGCAGATATTCTGGAAAATACAAAGAGGATCCTCCCCTCTATACCCAAAAAAAAAAAATATTCAGAGCTGTAAGCACAAACTTTTAATATGATGGTGCAGTAACAGAAACAGCAAAGCCAGCGTACGTCACATCTATTTGGAGCTCAACAAATTACACGTTTCTACACGTATGTGCAGTCGTAAAAGACTGCATGCTTTAGTGATCTCCTCCTTCCACAGTTCAAAAGAGAACAAGTGAACTCAAAGCTTCCTTAAAAAAAAAAAAAGTCCTTGACAGGCTAAGCTAGAAATAGAATTAAGCAATTTTATAACCACACATTTTGAATTAAAAAACAAACAAACAAAAAAAAAAAAAACAAAAAAACAAAAAAAAAAGGGAACAGATCACTGCAAAACAAAATAATCATTGGTTCTACTGAAGTACTAACCTCATCAAACTCATCACCAAACCCAGCTCGGTTTGAGATAGCTTCTGAAATTTCCTGGGCGATATCTTGCTGTTCAGTGATATCTTGCATCAAATCATCGATTTTATTTAAGTCCCTAGTGAAATAACATGGAAACAGTTTTGAAAGACACGTTTGAAGAGACTCGGGAATATCTTTTTCAAAACAGACTATACATAATACCCCCACACATAAAAAGAAACAGCAGAACTCAGGGGGGAATATTTTCTTTCACCTACACCTTAAATTTTCCTGGTAGGCTTCTGCGTGTYACAGCTGGCCAGCCCAATTCCTTCCACTTTGGAATGACAGCAAAGGTCACAAGTGCAGCACTTGGGGCTTTGCTCTCTCTCTGCACTTCTCAGGTGCTCGTGAGGCCACGGCCACCTTCCCAGGGCAGACCCAGCTCCCTGCTGAGTCAGCACCCTCACAGAGCCACCTCTTCTGATCTCAAACTTTCAGCCAGAACTGGGGGGAACTTCACAGGGCTATTCCCCATTTAAAAGCTTCCCTTGATTGTTAACTTCATCATTGTTTCAGTTCCTGTTTATTCTTCCAGAACGCCCTCTTCTGACTTAACTCCATTTACTCCTGCAGGAAAATACCCCACTGAGTAACAGAGAACATGTAAAAATACTACATATGTAAAAATATTACCCTCTTTTATTATTCACCTCTCATTAGCACTTTGAGTTGCACAATCCAGCCTATGCACTTAGAGGAAATAAGTTCAGTTTGTTTCTTTAGTATCTTTTACTTCTGCCCTGGATTTTTCCAGATTGCTACTGCCAAGGCAGATTTAATTCAGCTGTGCCACATGGTGATCCTTAGATAACAGGACTTCCTACCAGATTTGCAGCTAGGAGGGGATATTTTTTCTGCCAAACATAACATTACAGCACCAACAACACTGCTGACATTAAATGCTTGAACTAAAATGAAGTCAAAACTGGCTAATAAGATGCAACAAAACAAAGTGGAAAAATGGTTTATAGGTGTTTAGTAAGCTCAATTTGGAGGCCAGTAGAAAGCACTTACATATTTGCATGCACTTTTTTCATAGCTTGTGCAGCATAACCCATGTTCTTGAGCACTTCTGTGTTGGTATGAGAATTTTCCAGTGCTTCTCTCTGGAACTCAATGGTTGAGAGTGTGCCATCGATCTGACTCAACTGTTTCTCATACCTCTTTTTTCTCTTCAGTGCTTGTAAGGCAGCTGGAAGGCAAAGAGGCAAGGTACACGTGTATTCTCATGGTGAAATGCAAGCACAAGAAGTGCAGTGACAAGACGACCTGCAGAAGTGAGAATTTGCCCCTTCCTACCTTACTAGCAGAGAGGCAAACTCTGACCACACCACATCAGCAGCGTGCTTAGCACCAACATGCTGTTGCATGAACGTGCTGGGAGGCCTCTTTTAGAATAACTCCTTTCAGAATCACAGAGAAGAGCAGTTTCTTCTTCCACTTCTTGAACTCCAACCTGTGCACACAGGCAAAGCAGGGGACGACAGGGAGGAAAAAGGAAAATGTCAAAGAGGGATCAGAAAGGAAAGAACAGGGTAAAGCAAGAGAAAAGTGGTTGCAAAACGTGAGAACTAATAAGGATAGGGTAAGAAGATCAGTCATAATAACCACATCTCAACCAACGTTGCTTTCTAAACTGTGCCTGAGAAACAGGGAAAGTGCAACAGAAAGCCCTAATCATCTAACCAACAGGTGGGTTAGATCAGAGGCAAGATTAAGATTCCTTGAGGTTTCAGCTCTCTCTGTTCCTTTAAGGGCTTGTCAGGATTAAACTTTAAACTTTCAAACTTGAAAATATAAAGGACTGTGCACAAAGCCATAGTCAAACCCAGCTAYTCCCTATTACCTTTGCAGGTCAGTGAGATAGCTTAACAAGTATAAAATGTAATAAGCAGCAAACTTTGCCCACAGTAAATCATTACCAGCATAAACGCACATGACAAACAGGAGAGAAAAAGACTCCATTTAGTCTCTGGGTGTGGAATACAGTCTTGTCACAAGCATTTCCATCCTTTTCCAAACCACACAGTGCCAGACAAGAGCAAGGTGTTGCAGTTAACTCCTGGTATTTTCAAGGCCAACTGTTCCTTTCCCCTGTCTCACATTTCATTTCTAAACCAGCAAACATGTACAGCCGCCCAAGCTCAAACAGCTCACAGCAGAGTGGCTGGTGTCCTACCCAAACTGTTGTTGTGTGCAATAATACACCCATTGTGGCACCCAACTTCTTTCATTTTTTTCAGACAAACCCAGGTGCCCTGCAAGAAATAGGCACAGATTTATTGTAACTGTGCATACACTGAGACATTCTGCACGTTACTGATAAATGCTTCAATCAGTGAGGTCTAAATTACTCACTGGCTGCGCAAGGGAAGTATTTGCTCAGCCTGTGAAATACAATGTCACAGTTCTAACATTTGCAGCAAGATGTTCCAGGACAACAGTCCACAACCGCAACGGATTTACTGCCATATTCAAGTTGTGGATTTTCCCAAGTTTTTTGATGRTCCAAAGAGCATCCTGAAGATGATTAATGAATCCCAGGTGACATCACACAAATAACAAATGGAGGAATTCTGATTCATACTTGCAGTTCCAAAATATACCTATTTGACTAAATGTAATGTGGTCTTCTAGCTACTTATTAGTTCTCTACTTAAGCAATTCCTCGCAGTTTTAGCACACCGTCTACTTCCCTCTTCAGCTTTAACTGCATCAAAATTCGAGCAATTTGAAGGCCAGAGAGTGCAGCTCTAATTTAATAGTTGTGCTGGAGAGAACTCTTAAAAAAATAAAAAAAAAAAAGTTAACTTTGCACCAAGTTAACTGGCTTATTCAGAAACCCTTGAGTTTGAGTAAATTGCTATGATGGGAAAAACATTTCTAGCCAACGTTTTCCAGAAATGGGACTCTTCTCTACTAGTGTTATTATTATTGACTGCTCATAGAGAAAAATGAATTTCCTCAATTACATGCAGAGCAGTTGTTTTCTAAATCCTGCAGGTTCCTGTGTAAGATTTAATTAAACCCCACCCAAACTAAGAAATCCCAAAGGAATGTAAACTCACTGCAACTTCACCTATTCGTAAACAGCTCTTCCTAACTGCTGTATTGCAACATCTCACCTTTATTAATTCTTTTAAGCTTTATAGTAAGTACCTGAGAGAAAATCAATTCATATTTCTTCCTTGTCTTCTGGATATTATGTGTTCCATCCCTCACACTATATATTTTTCTCACATACATTAACTTCATCCTGAATTTGCAAAGTCCCCATTGCTCAGTGTTTTGTAGTCACAGCTACTATAGCTAGGACATGAGCATTTCCTCACTGACTTGTAATCTTATTTTCTGCATTTTTCAGATTGTCCTAAGTTTTAAGTGATTTACCTGGTACAAGTGTAAGCACATTAGAAGCTGTGTGCAACTCCTGCAAGAATATAGAAACTCTTTCCAAATGCTTTTGCATTATAATAAACAAAATATAATTTCCCTCAATAAGTAAAGAAATTGAGTGACAATGATAAACTTACTTTACCAAAGGCCAAAGAATGAAATTGCAAAAGGGTGTTGCCCATTCCAAAGATTTCAGAAAAGGAAGAGAGTTTGGAAGGAAGAATCTAAGCATCATATGACAAAGTATAATGCCAATTTAATTCGGAAAAGATGATGTTTATCTCAAGGAAAAAAGAATACCATATTCAGCTCCTGGGAGATACGGGTAGCAGGTGCCTCAGTTTCGGCATCTCTCGTGTGCCCTGCCTCTGGAATCACTGTCCAGCAAGCAGGACGCAGTTCACAACAATTACAAAACCACTGCTCCTGTATTCTGGGCTTTTATTATTATTTTCAAGGTAAGTAGCTAGAACAGCAATAGTCAGTCATGCTTACATGCTTAGCACTGCTTTCAGTATTATATAGAAGAGCACTTTGGTGCCCTATTTTGGTGGTTTTATTAAAGAAGGGAAGACGGCCCAACAAACAATAGCAATCCTGTTGTTGTCTAGTTCTGGCACCTTCACCATGTGTCACAACAGATCAGAACAAAATACTCAGTACAGTGATGATAGCACCCATCACGCCTGACTCTGGTAGCCACCACTAAGAGAACTGATCTGAGGTAGAAACAAGTTTTTATTGTCAAGTAAACCCTGTAATTCCCAGAGGCAACTGGGTGAAGAAGAAGAGCATTTCTTCAGAAGAAATAATGTTACTGTGAAAAAAACACAGCACATTGTCCCCCAGATACACCTCACAGACTCAAACCTCACTTACAAGCAAATACCTATAGCTCCTCTCCCTTGCTGAGGAAAGCTCCCTCTTGCTTTACAGCTGGTGCCTACTTGCACTGAATAGGTTGGCAAAACCACCTTTCCTCATTTATCTTTAGATAAAGGGATTGCAAAAAWATATAAATACAAATTCTGGACAGATGATGTAACTTTGAAAATAATGGCTGTTTTAATTCCTAGCTAGGAAACCATCTTGACTACTAAAGATATATGTTTGCAGTGTTCTTACTGCTAAATCTAATCTGCCTTCGCTTTCATTTCTTTGCTATTAGCAGCATCATGCAAGGGACTGGCTACCAGCTTATGCCAAAAAAAAAAAAAAAAAAAAAAAAAAGCTACTTTAAATATGATCAGGAAGCAGCAGTAAATCACAAGGCTGATAAACAACACAACAGTGATTCCTCTACTTTTAAACTCAGCACATAACTGCTTATTAACACGTGTCTCTAGTTGCCATTGCAATAGGATGCAATGTCCCTCTTGGATGCGAGCTTACCCACATCATCCCTTTCTCAAGGCTAATGCCAACTCACAGGGCTTTCTGGTTTGGGCACATCAGTAATTAGCCACCTGGGCGACATGAGCAAGACTCCCTTGGCAGTAGGTGCTTGTCACAAACCTGCTGCCACTGCCGGCTCTCTAGCCCTGARGTCTTCCTGACGGTGCTTGGGACTGCCTCCCAGCAGGATTCACCTGCACTTCTGTTCTATGAGGGACCTGCAAAATACAGATCCTGATCACCCTTAACATAGTCCTTATATTTATAATCCTTACAACTTGTGACTGTTTCTCATGCAAACACTCCCACAGCTGTGGCAACAATTCAAGACAGTAGTGCACTTAATTCATTATAACCATTCCCATTGCTGGCAGATACTTTAAGCACCATAGCAAAGAGAAAAGAACCACAGCTGAAAAATAATAATAATAATAATTTTAAAAAATCACATAACAAAGCCCTACTAGAAGGCTTCTCCACACCRCTCTGCCAACAGCACCTCAGTCCCAGCCTGCCACACACCCACCTGTAGCAGCAAGCCCTGTCTGYGCTGACACGCAGCTACTACAACTGCCTACTCCCTACAACCTTCTGGTTACAACTACCTCCCAGAAGAGGAATGCCCCTTGGCACAGGATACCAGCGGCAGCAGGTGTGTGTGGAAGGTGTAAAACGGAAGGCGAAGGAAGAAACTCAAAGGAAGAGGGATTATTGTAGGAGAGAGAAACAAACAGTGACGATAAGGAGCAGATTCTTTGGAGGACAGAGGTCAAACTTTCACCCTGGTGTAATGTTCTCTTCTACTGTCTACATACTCATGYAAACAGAACTGCTGATAAACTGCCTTCAATTACAATCTAAATTTCTGAATCCAGAAAGCAAAATGGAAAACATTCCACAGTGCCTCACTATCTGATGCCAAGCCTTAAGCAAAAGCACCATTCCCTGTAGTAAGGAGGCAGTATCATTGCACAYGCTAACTGAACCACCACCACAATGGTGGGAAGTTTGGAATGACAAAGCTTCTCTAGATGGAAACTGCGCGGTGAGGACGAGGGTACTTCTTTTTTACTAACTCATCACCATCAAAAAAATACTTCTCGTCATTACAGACGTGGATGTATTGATGGAGAAGTAAAAGAAAAAAACATCCTCTTCCCATGCCAATCTTTTCTCTCACCTCAAGCTTACACAATTTCAATATTCAGTATCCCTTTCTGTCCTTTAAGCTTTCCTATACGACCTTCAAAATGCTCCAGACAAATGGCCAATTTGCAGGTGGAGTTGAGAGGTGAGCTCTGTTTGAAACTAGCYAACATAACTAGCAAAGCACACCTTAGAAGAACTTTGATTTTTTTTTACCTGGAATCCTGAGAGATTAAAAGGGTAGTGCTAATTGTTAAAGAAATTATTGCTTATCACAAAATAATCTCTGTAAGAGAAACTAGCACACATTGCTGTTCAAAAAACCCTCAAGTGGTCTGGTTACAGTGAGATCTTAATGGGGAACATTGGAAACACTGCCCCGCAAGCACAGCTAATTTCAGGTGCCCTTCAGGAACTGCAGCCACGCACACTTCACGAGGGGGAAGCCAGAAGTACTTAAGTGATGCTTCACAGCCACTTGCATAGCTAACACGTTACAGCTTTTAAATTAGGGCAAGTCTTCTGATGGTGCGTGAACCCATTAAAGAATCATTTGAATTCTTGCAAAATTGTTGGGGCTTGAATCCGATCTCGCTTGTATCACTGTAACTGACTCAGGCTCACATGCCTGAAAAAGCAAATGAGATCACGCTAAACTGGGGTATCTTCCATATGAAGATACAGACTGCGTCAGCCTCACACACTCCCATTTTAAATTCCAGACACCTCTTGGTGATGCAGTTATGAAAGAGSAAGTTACAATTCCCTGTTTGGTCCCTCTAACAAGACATTGTAGATTACAACTTGTATTTTCTCATTTGCCTGTACGCCTACATAATACAACAGCAGCAATTAAAAACAACACAATTATTGTAACATATGAAGGGCTATAGTTGGAGAATTAAGCTTGCTCACTAGTCTACCACATTCTTTCATTCTGGCATAGCAAAATTGTATTATCTCACTTGTATTTTCTAACTTAACTAACTCATTGGCTTTYGTATTGCTTTGGGCATTAAAAATTCCTCTTCTATGTACTGCCTATAAGGCAATAGCTGAGCCAATGACTAAAAATAACTCTTATCTTTCTTATCACGCTGGGCTCAACAAYCTGTTTTGAAACACCACTCCACAAAAAGCGCACAGATATTGCTTGAGGTGCAGCATACGGTAGCCCCGCAGGGGAAACAGGAATCTGGAGGAAAAAGGARTAACTTCCTATGTCAGACGAAAGCGGAGCGCGAGGCCACACAGCTGGAATCGGTGCAGATCAGCTGGGTGAAGAGGGAGCTGAGGGCCTGGCCCAGCAGCCGCCACGCGCTCCTGGGAACCACCCTCTGCTCCACAGGTGCCCTGGCACCCGCACAGCTTCACAGCCAGCCACGCAGGCTGAAAATGACCCAAAATAGTCAACACCTGCCCAACGGGACAAGGGGGGCACCGCAGTGGGGACAGCAATGTGAAAGAAAAGCCTGCGAGGGCTGGAGGGCTGCAGAGGGGGGACTCAGTTGCACTGTGGATCTGGCTTTACCCRCTTGCGCTTTTTGTGCCTCAAGATCTTCCCCATCCCAACTAAAGTTTTAAAATCCCTTCCAAGCACCGAGCTATCACAGACACGTGCAAAGACCAAGCARGGCACCTTTCACGCGCAGCCCCTCGCAAGTTACACGGCGTTAACCTGCAGCCCGGCAGCAGGAACCGCAGACCGGAGAGCGGCTTTACACCCCGCACCTTTAACGCGGGAGGTTCTCCTTGGCCCCCCCGGGCGGGGACTGCCGCCCGGCGCGGGAGCCGGGCCGGGGCCGCGGCGCCACCTCGCCCCGCGCCGGCCTCACCTCGGCGGTTGCGGGTGCCGTGGTGGCGGGCGGCCGCGAGCTCCCGCTCGATCCTGCCCTCCAGGAACGCCTGCTTCTTGCTCAGCATCTCCTCGGTCTCCCGCAGCCGCGCCAGGGCCTCCTGCGCCGAGGGGGCGCCGCGGCTGGGGGACCCGCGCGCGCCGCCCCCCTTCAGCAGCTTCGAGATCTTGCTCATGGCGCCCGCGCTCTCCAACGGCTCCAACGGCCCCAACGGCAGCCGGCGCTGAGGCACTTCCTGCGCCGGGGCGGCCCGGGCGCCGCGCTCGGCTCGGCGCCGCCTGCCCGGCCTCGAGGCACCTGCGCGGGGGCCGGGCCGCGCAGCGGGGCCGGGCCGCGCGCCGAGACGCCCCGCGGAAGCGCGGGCGGAGCGGCGCGGCGCGACGCGCTCCTCCGCGTGCGACAGTTGGGGCTGGGGAAGGGGCACTGCGACGTTAACGGTGGGAATGCAGCTTTTACTAAAAGAAAGGGACACGCGAGAGGAGCCCCGGCTGGCGGCAGCACCTCCGCGCCGCGCGCAGGCGCATCCCGCGACCGCCGGCGGCAGCGGCGCCCGCCCCGCCCCGCGCTGCCCCTCCCGCAGCGCCCGGCCCGCCCCGACACACCTGCGAGGGCCCCGCCCCGCCCCCTCAGGCTCCGCCCCGGGGCGGGGCTACATCTGCATAGCGGCCCCGCCCGCGGCGCCGCCAGTTTCCCGGCAGCCTTTGGGGGCGCTGTTTCCACCCTTCCCTCCCTTCCCCGTCCCCGTCCCGCCGCCGCGGGCCATGGCGGAGCTGGATGTCGGGCGGCACTGCGCGGTCCCGCACTGCCGCCAGCTCGGTACGACCCCGCGGCGGGGCGGGGCCTCGTCCGGCATRGAGGGAGGGGGTCGCGGTGGTGCCAAGATGGCGGCGCCCGCTGGGCATGGGCGGTGCGCGCTGCGGGGAGGTGCCGTTTAAGGCCTGCCCCGCTCCGGGGCTTGTGTTTGTTTTGTCGTTCTGCGCGTTTCCTTCAAGCTAGGCTGCGCCTTGTTAGTAGGCAGGTGTAGCCGTGCCCTTTAGAGCGATGGCTTTGCTCCCGAAGGTGGTTTTGCTGGTGGAAAGCAGGTTTAAGAGGTGCTCYGCTAACGGTGGTAGCCGGGAAGAGCAGCGGTCGTGCACCGAATAGCTGTTAGCACAGGCTGCGCCTGCCAGGGCCAGCCCTGCCTGCTGTMAGGAGCCCCATGGCACCCGCTTCCGTTGTGTCTGCAGGTGTTTAATCCCCTGCTCTGCCCACTGCTGCTGTCACCCTCCTTTCCCCTTCTCCACGCCTTCATCCACCTGAGAAGACAATGGTGAGGATAAAAATGAACCCCCCGCCTACAAAAGGGGACGTAAGAATGCTCAAAATGAGCGCTCTATGATGGTGGGACCCAATCTTGCAGGTGAAGTGACCAAACATCCTCCTAATCTAGATGTTTTGCAGGGCGGCCTGACAAAGCAGGCTTTGGAGAATGGAGAAAGGATGGAGAATGGCTTAAAGATGTGATTTATCTCCTTGTATGTTTTTCATACATAATACGAGGTATTTCTTAGGTAGGATAATTAATATTGTAACTGTGTTATAAAAGTCCCCCTCCCCCAAAACATACTATGTAGACTTGTAAAGATAACCTACCTCATGGTATAAGTAAGCAAAAGCTAGTCATGTATAAAGTAAGCTAAAAATTATTAGGAAAACTATGACCATGTTGTCTAATGGTAAACAAATCTCTCTTGTTTTCAGATTTTCTGCCCTTTGTATGTGATGGCTGTTCAGGAGTCTTCTGGTAGGTTTGTCCATGTTGCATGTTTCTAGTTTCTGCTGAGTTTTTCTTACAGTAGAACTTGTGTAGGGATAGATGTTGTCTAAAACAGTGTGTTTCAGTGTGTTTCACAGTGTAGATGTGTTGAATTAAAATAGTTTGTTCACTGAATCTGCAACCTTTCTCCACAGAGACTGTAATAGAGGTTTGTAATCTATGGGAGTATTTCTAGAATACAAATAACTTGTTTATTGTTGGGATGCTGAATTAAACTTTTTTTTTTATTTTTTTTTTGTCCAGTCAAAGGAACAAAGTTTTTCCAGGTCTCTCAAATGAGAGCTTTCATTTGATGCAAAGTTCAAATCAGCAGCCTTAAGTTGAGGGCAGGTTTGACTGTCATTTAATATTTCACTTTAGAATGTTAAGAGCCTCCAAGCGAGTTCTGCCACTGTGGAAAATCCGTTTAAGATTTATGGACCAATTTCAAGTACTTTGAGTTGAATCCTTAAACATCTTCATATCTTTGTTCTCTTGGAATGCTGTGTTGATTTCAGGCTAAGTGCAATGAGCTAAATGTTTTACAAACTCAAGGAAAACGAATCTKATCTGTTAATGAAGTGAAATCCGTAGGTTAGAATGAACTTTGTAGAGGAATGATTATTTATTTGAAGTGTTGCTGCGATAAAAATCTTTCAGATCACTCTTCAAACATTTATGTTTTCACATGCAGTTTTCTTTTCTTGGCAATTTGGTAATGGTGTGATATTTTCTTCTCTTGTGCCTAAGCCTGCAGCACAGAAGCCGGGATGCTCATGGTTGTTCTGAGGTAATGTAATGTGATATTAAATGACTACCATGTMACACATGAGAATACCATTCAACTTAAGAAACTACATGTTTTGAGATTGCACACATTCTATATAGGTATAAGAGTGTGACAAGCTTCAAATTAATGTACTGTCTGTCTGTGTGTCAGAAATCAAGTTGGGTCAGGGTGATGTTTCTTTTCCTAATTCTGAGTTAAACCTAACCAGAAAAGGAGAAGGGACAAATTTTGTCTATAAAAAATGGAGAGCCAACACTGTTATTGTGGGAGGATGGGGTGTTGACTTTTATCTTTAATACCTGTTTATTTACACCTAATATTTTCTATTGATCCTTAGGTGAATCTCAGAAATAACTGTGTGAAAACAGATCAGCATAGCTCTTATCCATGCTCATTTAAGGACTGCAATGGGAAGGAGCTTTTACCAGTTTTATGTCCCCACTGTGAAAAACATTTTTGCCTAAGGTCAGTATGACAGAATGTTGAAACACAAATATTCTTTCATTACTGTATTGAAAAGGTCATGCAAATTTTCCTCTCTGTTGTGTACAGGCACCGTCATCAATCAGACCATGAATGTGAGAAACTGGACACGCCAAAGCCTCGAATGACTGCCACCCAGCAGCTTGTTCAAAATATTATAGGCAAGTTCAGTGAGATATTTATCTGATATTTACTTTTCCAGCACAAAAGAATGGAGGCGTCTTGATTATATAGCCCTAAGCCCATATGTCTGYCTGTAATTGTGTTCATCCAGATCGAGACAAAACAACAAGAGGAGATGTCTATAAAGGGTATTCTTTAAATCAGGTTCAGGTTTCTTTTGTAACAATGATAGCAATTTTTGTTCAGTCCTACCTACACAGCCCCATGGTTCTATATTGGGTATATGTGCCGGTCTGCTGGGATTATGCTAAAGCAATGATGCTGTATTTAAAAAAAGAAAAAAGAGAGCGAATATGAGTCCGTGATATGATGTCTTCTACCTTTAAACTAGACCTCGGCAGGAAAGAGAATAAACAAGCAGTAAGCATAATTATGGAGAGCATGGGAGGGTGGTAGTTATAAGAAAAAGAGCCAGAAACTGTTGTCATGTGGTCCCTGTGATTGCCAAACATATAGTAGTTACAGGGGTTACGATTCACCGTATGCATGCTTAGTTTATGTAGTGCTGTTCTGCACCTACCTGTCAGTTCTGTTAGGAATGTGCACAAATCCCCATGCCCTGCGGGGGGGTGCACCTAGTGTTGTGGCCTCTGGAATGARGTGTTAGAGATAAGAGGCCCAGGGGCTGAGTTCAGCATACATTTGGGCAAGTTTTAATAGAGGAGGAGAAATTTGGATTCACACTAACAGAAGTAATGTTGTCCTCAGATTCCAAAAAAAGCGAGGAAGCCAAAAGCAAAAGACGGAAGGGAGCGAAAAGCAACGAGACGGCAGCAAAGGTGGCTCTGATGAAACTGAAAATGCACGCGTGTGGGGATAAGTCTTTGCCTCAGGTCAGTCATACTTGTTTTCAATAACTGACTTATCAAAGGAAAGGAGAATTTTTTCTGCATTTCTTGTTCTTCATTTAGTCCCCTTGCCCTTCTGCTCATGGTTGGTTTTTAGATTTCCAAGCTCATAATGATTCATATGTTGATTTCAACTTGGCACCTGGAAGCAGTCTCGTTAACCTTGTATCTGTTACAAGGTGTCTGCATATAGAGCAATCAGACCAAATTTCCTCTTACATTTTAGCAGAAGTGTTGGCTGTCACAYGGCTGGCCTGTCTCTTAGAGCTGCTTTTCCTGATCAGTCCTGAAAGGTTCCTGCCATATGTCACACAAGTAGTGGAGTTTGTCCCAGGCACAGCTGAGCTTTGTGTTCTATAAATCWAATACTCGTATTTAAGAGATATATATTCCATTCTTAGATGAGGTGAACCTGAGGTCAGCAGTTCCTGCTTTGGCTTGGAATATAGTCTTGATAGTTGCTTGTGTTTCAGTCTTTTAATTTCTTTGATTCTTGAAATACTTCACAGAATTCMTTATTGTTTCTCACTACAGTGGCTACCCATACCAAGAACATCTCCCCCCCGCCCCTATACTCCCCTCTCAATCAGGATTGTATTGGTTTGGAAAATACTTCTTTCTTTCATCCAGGGTTTCAGTTTAGATAAGTTCTTGCATGCCCTCTTGAAGGATGTGACAGGMTTTGACAACCATGTTCAGGTTTCTTTTTGAGGGTTGAAGGAGTTTTTCGTTGTTGTTTTTTGGTTTTGTTTGTTTTTACTGAGGAAACTATTATATGTCTAGAACTATTTGTTTCTATGGATACTTTTTGCTTGTTTTTCTAGACTGAAAGAGTTTACTTTCAAGTGTACTTACCAAAGGGAAGCAAAGAAAAAAGCAAGCCTATGTTCTTTTGCAGTAAGTGGAGTATTGGCAAAGYAGTAGATTGTGCAGCTTCTTTAGCAGGTCTTAAAAATGACAACAACAAATCAACAGCCCAGGTAACTCAATAATAATAATAAACTTGTTCCAGTTTGGTGTTTCTACCTTCCCCCACTGCCTTCCGTCTTGGATACAGATTAACACCAAGATTTGCCCATGTTACTTATTTTGCAGAAATTGAGATTGTGCCATAGTGTCTCTGGAGAAGCTTTACCATTTGAGCACACATTGGAAACATGGCTGCTTGATAAAGAATGCCCATTGTACAATGGGGGAAATGTCATTCTGGAGTATCTTGACAATCAAGTTCTATTTATAGAAGATACAGAACCGTACTTCAGTTAATCAGCAAATTATCACCAAAAAAAATCAATTATTTTTTAAAGACTTTGCCACTCCAACCAGGTCCAATTTCTTTTTAGAACCACCGTATATCATAATCTGTCCTCTGTTACAGTGACACAGTTCCCAGCAATTTTCCAGTTGCACTGATTGAATTAAGTACTCTTCTGAGAACAGAAGTAGTTAGTATAATAATTAATATAACTGATACTTTATAGAATAAATCGTTGGTTTATTTACCTGTATAATATCATGCCATTCTCATAAGTTTTMTATTTATAGTATTTTTGTGTAAATRACGGCAAAGCATGTATTAAGAGCAATAAATAATGAAAATATAAACTTGAAGTGGATCAGTTTTTTGAAGATAAAAGGAGCATACACTATTGTAATATTTTTCTGTCATCTGTAAGAACAGATTTCTCTGAGTCTGGCATGGATAATCCAGCGTTCTCCATGCCATAAGTTCACATTTACATTTCTCCTCATATAGAAATAATGACTTTTAGAAGGGTAAGGTAAATTCCAACAAATGTCTCATGTTTTTATAATTTAACAGCATTACTTGATTTAGTGGAGAATAAAGTAAAACAGCATGMAATTATCCTTTTCTAATACAAATGTAAGAGTGGAAGAAATAGAGTTAAACTAGAAGCATTCCAGGTCCTGTAATGTCTCCTTCCGCAGTCCACAAAATGAACTGTGGTGAACCTGRGTTTTAAAGCGGTTGTTGATAATGATGATACCTAAAGAAGATGCATCCCTAGTAGCTTTACTTTTATAAGCCTTTAGTATTAATGGTCTTTTCAGTTGCCACAGGGGTTTGAAATGCTTTTGGGGGGTCATTAAGAAGATTACTAGCAGTAATTGATGTATTCCAGATTTTTGGATCTCATTTGGATTTCAAAAGTGGATTATAAATTTAAAAAAAGTAAACATAGCAAGAACRAACAGTGAGTTTATTTTTATCACAATTGTAGCTGTTTTAAATTACCATAATATAAAACCATTTTGTGYTGCACACAAATAATAAGCACTTAAGCAATTTTAAAAAGCAGGTATAATGTGATAACCCTGCTTCATCTTTCTTGTTTCATCTTAAATTTTCTGCTGTGTGCTTGTACTACCCCCATTTAAGCTGGATGGATAAAAACCTATTTCAAGGCTAATTCCTCCTGCCACATTCTTTACTTTCATTGCTTACAATTATTCATACAACAGCCTTCCTGTGGGAGGTATTAGTAAGAATATCTTGGGATGACAGAAAAGACAAGGTAGGAAGGGGTAGGCAGGTGTGGATAGCACCAACCTGAACCCAGTTTGTCAAGGAGGACATGGAGCCTCCTGCTTGGTGGTGCTCTGCCATRTGAATTAGCTGTGTAGGTAGCCTTGCCTGATACCAGTGCAGCATCACACAACAGGGAACCTGTTTTTCATTATATTCACATGTAATCATTTTGTGATACATCGCTACGCAACAGGGAAGCTACATTTTCATTATATTCACATACAACAACGATGTGGTACATCTCTACTGAAATGCCCTTTTCTCCTCAGACAGGCATGAATTTCTCCTCCTGTGACTGACTCAGTAGGTACTGAGGTGCTGGATAATGTGTCTTTCAGCAAATTTAAACAGGAAAGAGCTGCCTTTCCTTCTTTCTCAGACTCCAGGCACCTCCTTAGGCTTTCACAAGARGATTGCAGCTTGTATGTGCCATGTGGCTGAACGTATTCAGTCGTGTGGGGCCACGGAGGACAGCAGGTCTGTGTTACTCAGAGATGTGATGGATTTCAGGGGCGCTTTCCTGCCACTGCAAGACACTTACTGTGTAAGTGGAGAGAAACTCCACTGGACATGCAGGGAGATGAGATTAAGGCAGATTGCTGGTTCTGTGAAAAACTAAATTTTGGTCTAGAGGAGAGCTGATCATGAAACAGAAGGGAAATATGACAAAATAGTGTCTTTCTGCTGAGACCTGCAAATGGAAGTGGACACTGTCTCATAACTGCAGCCACTTGGGCATTCATAAATCTGAATTTGCTGTTTTGGCTCATATTCAATAATTGTTAATTTTAGGTTCACAGTCCAGGTTTTTCTCTAGCATCTGCTCCACTAGAGGGAACATTTCTCCAGTGGCTAGAGTGCCAGATTATGGTTTGTAACCTAGTTTTGAAAACATAACTGTGTGAAAAGGGAAAAAAAAAAATCAAAACAAGCAAATGCTTTTATAGCGGCAATAAAAAGAAAAAAAAAAACCACAACGTGCAAGGAGGAGTCTGCCTGGCCACTTCTTCAAAAGATACTCTTCATAAGTAGGGCAAAAATGTGGTCTTCTTCAGGTAGCCATAAATATTATATGTTCCTGTACTGCCAAACATTATGACTCTTGTAGCACTTTAGGAATCCCTCCACAATTGTATGCTGATTGGACTTGAGAGAAAAAAGAAAAAGCTCAGTATGTGTGTGGCTATCTATTATTCTTGTTTTGTTACTATATTATTTGCTGCTGTRATTTTTGCTGCTTTAGCCTGACTTAGGTATTATTAAATGATTTTACTGCACGCTATGTAGATGTCACGAAAAGAAAGGTCCTTCTGGTTTCCATGAAGGAAAGAGTTGATGACTCAGAACCAATAAGGACTTAACAGTCGTTTGGCTCCAGTTTTCCTTCCTGCCCTACAGTTTTCCTGGAGATTGCTCAAGCAATTGAATGGCTGATCTGTTCTGTAAACTAYTGTCAGAGACAGCTAACTGGCACGTGTCTTTATGAGCCAGTTACCTTGCCATTTCTATGAAACAAATAAAGAGGTCTTTTGGGCTAAATTGTCATCCTTCAGGTATTACCTGCAGCAGGAGGTTCTGTTGTGCAAGACAGAAGGAGGACAGGCCTTCCTTTCAGCTGCCCCCTGCAAGCACAGCAAATGATTTACGTGGTTGTACAGCTTTCTCCCAACACCCGCCTGCTGTTTGCACAGTACAGAGACATAGCCTCCTGAGAATTTGTTTTTAATTGTATACTAATATTATAGCATATGTATGTTAGAATACATTCATATTATGTATGTATATGTATGTACATGTATGTATGTATTATGTATGTATATATTAGGTATATACATACATATTATGTATGTGTACATATATGTATATAGCATATAAATATAATACATATATAGTGATATATAAAATGCTATAAATATAAAATACTATATATACTCTAATATACAATATAATAATTGTATGTGGAAACTCAGATTACTCAATTTTCAGAAACATAAGCAAAACCAAATGAAGATAGTCTAACACACAGCCTAACACATAGATAAATAAGGAAGGTGAAAACTGTGTTCTAATCATAGAGATCCTGGAGAGAATCCAGAGGCAGAGACAAAAATTTCCCCTAAGTTACTGTGCATCTTCTGGGGGTAGAATTACTCCAGGTTTAGCTGTTAGACCTTAGCACATCTTTGCTAACCACATACATATTTTTGTTTGTTTTCTAAAGGTTAGTAGCATAGCACATTTTCATAGGGAAAACTGAAAGTGCATCCCAACTAGATTTTAAAACAAGAAACAGTATGGAGGAGACATTTAACATTCACTTGTTAACTTTTTGTATGCAAAGTTACCCGTCTGAGAAGGTGAATTTGTCAAGAAACAAACCAAAAAAAAATGTTGTAGCAAACAAGAAATACACCATTTTTAAAAAGAACTCTCTCACACTCTTATCAGTTTCCTTTTGCCTGCCTGTTTTAGAAAGACATAAAAATATATCTGTATTATTTGAAAAATAATCTGTATTATTTGAAATTTGTGAAGTACTTATTGCAACTTGTAAACTGAGCACAAAACTGCAGAATTGCTTTGTCCTTACTGGGTGAAAAACAATAGGGTCAGTGCTTTACAGAAAAACAAGGTAACTGTAGCAGTCAATCCTGCAAAGGAAGATGATGCCATTTTTCCCTCTATATCACTTTCTTTATAGTAGTCTTGTAAAAACATTAATTCAATTGTGACATGCCGTTGAAAATCTTTGGTGGGAAGCTAGTGCGCTTTTTGGAAAATAAGCGAGCAGGATTTACTGCATATTAAAAATATCACTCATGTTCTCATTACTGATTTGAGATCATCCTAATTAGCAGAACTTAAGTGCAAAACAGGGCTCCTACAGAGGTGAAGAAGTCTCAAAGGTGCTGATAGGATTTTAGGAAAGGAGTAAGATATAATGGAGAAGAATCATCTCTTTTTAGGCACTGTAACTGTAATGGAATTAATTAAATACTAGATTATTTCCAAGGAATCGTAGGGTATAGATTCACGGGTTTTGTGGCTCTGCCAGACCACCAAAGCGGTCACACAGAGCCACAATCCACGGATCCCTGTGGAAACGGGAAGCCAACGGGATTGTGCTTGGATGAWGCGCGAGGCCGCGCCGCCGCCGGGGCCGCCCTAGCGGCCCTCGCGCATGCGCAGCACGCACCACCCGCGGTGCACGGAGGTGGGGGTTACAAGCGGRCGGCGCGCCTGCGCAGTGCGCGCGGCGGGAGCCGCTGCGCATGCGCACYTCACCGCCGGCGGCGCGAGACGGCGAGAGACGTGCGGGCGGCCGCCATTTCGGGTGTCGCCGGGGGTCGCGAGCCCCTCTTCTTCCTCCGTCTGTTCTCCCTCCCTTCTGGGGCGCGTCGGTGCCAGGCAGCAGCAGCCGCTGCCGCCTTTCAGGTGCGCGGGGAGGGGGCTGCCTGTCCGCGTAGTCAGTTAGTCCTGCTTACTAGCGGGAGAAGAGAAGAGGTCAGTGAGAGGCAGGGCTGCTCATCGCGGAGCATCGCTGTGTGCCCGGTTCGGTACCCCCGTGGGGATCGCGGCCCTCACATTAGCTCAGCGGGACGAGCCCCTCGCGTGGGCATCCCGAGGCGGCAGGGTTGAGCTGGGAGAAAAGCCGCGTCCAGGAAACGTAGACACCGGTATTTACCCAGGTTTGCTGGTTTTGTGGCGTTTTCAACGTTTCATGAAGCTGCCCGGCGGSTGCTGATCTGTGTAAGACCCCGTTAGTGCTGCCAGTGCCCTGTGTGGAAGAGCGGTTCGGTACCGTGTGCGCCCGGCCCGGGGGCCGGACAAGTCRCTTGTGTCCGGAGACTCCCAGGCCGTGTTTGATGTGGTGCCCCTTTGGCGCTTTCCCCTGCTGATTTTGCTTGTTCATGTGTCCAGACTCTGCGAGTCAGAAAGGGTTTTCAAAATGATCCTTGCTTACCGAAGACTGAAGTGGTTGGTGTTATAGAAAGACTGGGCACTGCACTGGTGTTTCACATCACTCGTGCAAKCAGAGATGTGTACGAGATAAGAAAATACTGCTTAATACTATTCAGTATGTAAAGGACAGTTTAGCTGTGGTTTCTCATATCTTTTTAATGTAGAAACAAGAGCCTTCTGTAGCTGTATTTAGAATAAACTGCCGGAATAAGGCAGAGAGGAATAAGCCTCAGAAAGGCAGGGTTTTGGTTGTCTTCCCCTCTAATTTAAGGTAACTGAAGTAAACTAAACCATGCTTAAAATAGACTGAACTATGGCTGCAATCATTTGCAATAAGYTGTACTGAAGAGTCCAGTACTTTTTAAACAAACAAGCTCTGAGCTGTACCGTGCATCCAAGCATGTCCTTGTGGGTAACCACACTGTTGCTTTTCAAAGACTTTGTGTGCACTGAAGTCCGTAACTAAATGTAGCATTTAGCAGGCATATTTTAACACTGAAGGTCAGTGTCTGTTGATATTTTTATGTTATAAACACACTGACAAAATACAGGGAAAAAAAAAAAAACTTTGAAACCAAAGTTTGTTAATACATTTTCTTAAAACAACTCTTTCACAGTGAGTAATAGGGCAAGCATATACTCCAGAAAAGCAGAAACATTGTGATCCAGTAGACTGAAGTCCAGAGAAGAATAAAACAATTTGAATTTGTTAAAAAAAAAAAATCCTTTTATTTAATATTGCTGTATCTTTTAGGCTAAGAAAACATGGCTGATCCTTGGCAAGAATGCATGGATTATGCAGTTGTTTTAGCAAGGAAAGCTGGAGATGTAAGTATTTCTAAATAATAGTGTTTATTAACAGTAATATAGTAGAGCTTTTAAAGGAGTTTTGCTGTTAGATATTCCTCCATAGGAATATTTTGTCAAAAATATGAATTAGTAGCGTGATTTAATGATGTTCAAGATTGGAGCATCTTCCCTGTTCTCAACTTGGTTAATTCAAAAGAATAATTTTACATACTGAAACACATATGARCTAGAATGTGATAAAGATGTGATAATATCTCTTATTTCTTAAATTTCATTTAAAAATGATTTGGGAATTGTGATGAAGAGCATCYTCCTTTTTTCAGTAAAAAGGTAACTGTATAACTTTTTAATTGTCTGACTAACTTKACAATCTTTCTTTTGAGGAACTTCKCTGCAGYATTATTTCACCTCTTTTGATTAACTCTCTTATTCATTGGTTTATTGTCGGTGCAATACATATATTTGTTTTCTGTTTATGACAACTGCTTTTCTCTTATAAATCAGGAACGTCTCTCAGAGGCAGTACTTTGCCTCTTTGTGGTCTCAGATGGCTGAGAATAAGAAAGAGAACTTGCACGTTTCAGCAAAGCCTTGATGTAGAACTGATTAGTAGATGTTCAGTTGCTCTTGGTAGTTCTGCTGGGTGCACTTGAATGCTCTTGCACTAGACAAGACGGCACAAGTCCCAGTTGGGTTCCTAGGAGCTGAGAGTCTGCAGAACATAATGTAGAAGCCTGTCCTGACGTCTGATTAAGATTGACCTTCACAAAACTCAAATTTGTCTCACTTGTAGTAAAATTATTTTCTGGGCTGTGAGACATAGGTTTTTAATCAGTTTTCRTAGTTCTTGAATCATAGATGCATGGTCTGGCTAAAAATAGGTTACTTAAGCTTAATGTTTCATGTTCTGTTCACTTTACTGATACTTAGATAAATAGGCTTAAAAATGGAGCTCCCTTTCATCCACAATGGATCTTCCCATAGTACTTAGTTTTAAGGTCAGGAAAAAAATGTACTGACAGAGATGAGGGATAGATGCAGGTCTGGGCACAGCTCCTGCAATTAAGTTCATTTTTGTGTCACTACTTGTGTTTTGTGCATGAGATGCAGAAAATTAAAAATGATGCTCAATATCTTAGAAAAATTAATATTTTCCATACTGTTTATGAAGAATTTTTTTCTTTTGTTAACAGATAATCCGTGGAGCGCTCAAAGAAGAAATATCTGTTATGACTAAAAGTTCACCAGTAGATCTAGTGACAGAAACAGATCAAAAAGTAGAAAACTTCATTATTTCTTTGATAAAGGAAAAGTATCCTTCTCACAGGTACAGCTTCTTATTGATACATTTTTAGTAAAAAAAAGGAGACGCTTAGAAGAACAAGATGGAACATTTCTGACTTGATAACATTTCAATATAACATGGTAGAAAATTCTGAATTTCTTTCTTAATGTCTCATTAAATAATGTTGCRTTAAATATTTCAGAGTAGTAGTGGGTCAGAGTTTCGTCTGAATGCTTACAAATGAACTGCTAACTAATTTAGCAATTAACTCTAATTTTAACTTTTATCTGCATCTTACCAGTTCTTGGAGGAAAGCAATATTACGTATTTGTTGTAGTCTTTTTGCATGTTAATAACATGCAAATAATATAGGAGAGAATTCCATACATTCATACACTTCCCAGTGGTTTTTCAGTTCAAAACAAGTAGTTTAATGGTCAACAAAAATAACGAAATTAGCYTCCTGTAGCAGTTACGTGTATTCCTGGCATTTAGCAGTATGCTAGGCAGTGAAAGCACTCGATGGAGGAGGGTCAGGTTAGAAAACACTTAAACTGGGACAGCTCGAGGGACCTGGTTCAAGGGACGTGGTGGGATGCACCGATGAGTGCTGAGGGGGATTGTGTGGAAAGTATTGCAATTCAGACATGTTGAACATTTCTTTTTCCCGTTTTTAAATGTGTTTCCTACCGTAGTTTCATTGGAGAAGAATCTGTTGCAGCTGGAGAAGGCAGCATTTTGACAGCTAATCCAACATGGATTATAGACCCTATTGATGGAACTACAAACTTCGTACACAGGTTTGACTCATCTTTTATGTTAACAAATTAAACTGATTACCTTTTTTTTTTGTTTCTCTAGTTCTGTTAAAGTGATTTTCTTTCACTTTTAAATTCATTTAAAAATGATACCATGAATTCATGAATAGCTAAAAATTGCTGTTTGCTTTTAGTTGAGAACATTTGCAATTTTTGCTATGGTATTAGTATTTCTTTATTAGTATTTCTGTAACCAGTAGCAGATATTTCACAAAAGACATGTGCTCTGCAGTAGGAGTCAACAGCCCATGGTGCAGCTGCCAAAGATAGCTGGGCAGATTTTAAGCAGTGATGCAGCCAGACAGTGAATTAGGAGCTGCAGCACCTTCAAAGAGGTTTTTCTAAGATTTTTTTCTAAGAAGCAATAACAGCTCTAGATTCTTGCTGCTAACAAATTTTAAGTTCTGTTCAGCAGGGCCGCTGCTATGAAGGAAAGCTAGATATCACTGGCAAATTGTCTAGTGGTATTTTGCATCAGGGAGAGGAAGCGGTTCTTAGGATAAAGACAACTGCCTGTTCCCCTGCTCTGAGGCGCAGTAACTTCTGCTCTGAGGAGCTGCTCTGAGCAGACCTGATTCCAAAATTCGAATGACTGCTGCTGCATGGGGAACAGCTTTAAAAAACTGCAAAATCATGTTAAATAGCATGTTTGTTTGGAAATAGGCTTGTTTGTTGGAAAAGCTACATCAAAATCCAATTTACAAACCTAAAAATCTATCATTTTTGCTGATTGTAACTGTAATAAGCTTTTTTGAACTACATTAAAAAAAAAGAATTAGAAAAAATAAATTAGTTTCAGTGATGCAATGAGTGCAGTTGCTATATGGATTGGAAACTGCAGCTGTGATTGGTATTTTTTGATCTATCTTAACAGTGAGCAGTACAAGTTCCAGAAAACTGTTATTTCATCTGCCTTTTAAAAATATACTAGACATTTAAATGGAAATTGTTTTTTTATTAAGCATGAGCATGGTAGTAAAGAAGCATAGTATCTCCCTGTAAATAGTCAAATTTTTGTTTTGTAGGTTTCCATTTGTGGCAGTTTCAATTGGCTTTGTTGTTAACAAAGAGGTATACTTTTTATTACTTAATATCTAATCAAGCAAACAGTTTAATTTCTTCTTGCTAGCTATCACTAAGATTTGTATTTTCAAAGTAGATAGAAGAAAGGAAAAAAAACCACTTAAAATATCTTTGCTATTTTCTTGCAGATAGAATTTGGAATTGTGTACAGTTGTGTAGAAGACAAGATGTACACTGCCAGGAAAGGGAAAGGTGCGTTTTGCAACGGTCAAAAACTTAAAGTATCAGGCCAGCAAGGTAAGATGAGCTGCTGAGTAGCCTTGTTGTTTGTGTGTGGGTTTCCCCCCCCCCCTTTGGATATAACATACTTGTAACCTTGCAAAATAAAAATCAAGATTAGGCAATTGGAGATGATGTTCCCTGTGTGTCATCTTAAGTTTGTGTGCTTTTTCATTTTATTCCTTCTTCATCTGTTGTCTGTGATCATTTTTAGAAACTGTAATGAATCTAGCAGCCAATTTAACTTCTTCCAACTCAGAATTACYGTGGGTTTAAATCTTATCAGTAGGATTGTTACTACTTTATGTAGAGGAAAACCAGTGCTTAATTTGGGACCTTTACACATTTGATCTAATTGTTCTAACAATAGAAATTTATATAGTAATGACCTGAGTTAATACATATACACAAATAAACCAAATTGAGCTTTATTTTATCTTTGTCTAGCATGTTTTGTATAAAATCTCTTTTTTTTTCCTTTAAGTCATGTAATTAAAATACCTCAGTTATGTTCAGTCTGACAAGAAAACAATGAGGAGAACTTCGCTTGAATTGAACACAGATGCCTAATTACTGCCACTATGTAAGATGTACTGTTGGAAAAGTAAGCTTTAATTTCCTTTCTAGACATTACCAAATCCCTTTTGGTAACAGAATTGGGATCAAATCGGGATCCAGAGACTATAAAAATAATTCTTTCTAACATGGAAAGACTTCTCAGTATTCCTATTCATGGGTAAGATATTTCTTATATTTGATATTTATTGGTGTTAAATATAGTAATTTCTAGAAAGAGTCAGTTCTGTTAATTTGCATACACACATTGCATACATTTAACATCTCAGAAATGAACTATGATTCAAATTTAACTTCTCCCGAGAGATTTTGTGCTTTCATTTTTTTCAGTTATTTTCTGAGAGAAGCCATATTGAGAATTGAGGCATGTTTGGTTTTGTGGGACTAGAAAGTACTGTATTTTCTCTTCTAGTTAAACAATTGAATACAATTTTGTGTATTTTTGTAGAAGCACACATGGAGTAATCGGAACTGCATAAAGAACAACTATGTTAAATTAGAGTAGCTGTATTAGATTACTTAGTTTCCATCTAGTAATTGTCCACAAATTAATACTAATTTCAGTTACATTCCCTGCTTCTCCTCTCCCAGAAGAGGAGAAGCAAAAGCAAAACAGAACAAAGGTCTGCATTTCCACAAGCCATTTTGGGTATAAATATGGTTTCAGAAGATAGTTGTTCATTACTCAACCCCGCTCATGCTTCTGACGTGAAAGAGATTTCCGTTTTATGGCAGGATTGTCAAGAGTTTTTGTTTTGACTCTTAACATTTAGACTTTTTGTACTTTCCAAAAAACTTGTGGGGTCATAAAAAATATCTGCTGAACAATTAATAGGGTATACATTTTAGGTATTTTAGATTGTTAGTTTAACTTKGAAATTTTATTTGTAAAAAGTAAATTGAAGATTAGAGTCAACTTAAGTTGGGTTTTGCCATTACTTTAGCTTGCATCAGTTGCAGTTTAATGTATATTTTACCAGTAATTGACATAATTATTTCTGGAAGTCACGCTTTTGCTTACTAGTTACATTAATATTTCAAAAAGAAGTGGAATTTGCAACTCGCAAATTAAGCCAGAACTAAGTTATACTGTTGATTTATTATTTGTGATTATTAATGTTTTTTACATGTCAGAGATGTTTACCAGCTATCACTAGAGAAACTGATTATTTATTTATTTATTTATTTTTAGCAAGGGTGAGAACAGTATAAATGCTAATTGTAGTATTCAAAAAGTAAAACAATATCTATTACTTTGGAGAGGGAATAGTATCTTGCATAGTACTTTTTCTAGGTTAAAAAAACTTTTAATTTTTTTCATATCTAAAACAAACTTGCTTGACTTCCGTATAATTTATAAACATTATTTCTGGAAAATTGCTCTATTTCTAGGACTCTAAAATACTTAAACACAAATGGGGAATGGTGTTACATGCATTTGTTCCACTGCAATGTTCCGTCATATTTTCTCTAGCTCATTTTATTCTGTGTTTGATGCTCTTGTGCTCTGTATAGTTTACACAGCGTTTGTGACTGTTTTGGGAACTACTCTCAATTAAAACCCCGCAATATCTTCTTTAGGATAAGAGCTGTTGGTACTGCTGCTGTGAACATGTGCCTTGTGGCAACAGGCGGAGCAGATGCCTACTACGAAATGGGAATTCACTGCTGGGATATGGCAGGGGCTGGAATCATTATTACTGAAGCAGGCGGAGTACTGCTCGATGTATCAGGTAAATACAGGGCTTTGCATGAWACTACTGTGGCCTTTCAGCTAGCTAATTGGGAGCAAAACTTAGCTGAAAGGAGAAGGTAAATGTTACTCAGTCTTCCTTTCAAATTGCCACTGTTAAGCAGTGTTTCCATCCAGTTACTGGACAGAGAAGCAATCATTTGCTCTTATAAGACTTTTTTTACCTTTTGGGTTGGGCACCTGGAAAAGAGGTAAAAGTAACATCACTTCATAAATAAATAAATAAAAAATGTACAATGAGTAAATTTACATGAGCTGCAAAGAGTAAATGTAGGTCACATGAGATACCTATTGAAATGCATTTTTATCCAGGAACCCTGACTGGTAGTGTCGGTCTGTTGATGTATCGCTTATATTGGACATTCATGCTCATTTTCCTACTAGCTTTTATATTTTTTCAGGGAATAAGCTAGTTACAATGCTTGTTTTGATTTTTYTAGGTGGACCATTTGACTTGATGTCTCGAAGAATAATTGCTGCAAGCAGTCGAGCTGTAGGAGAGARAATAGCTAAAGCACTTCAGATAATTCCTCTGAAACGGGATGATGCAGCAAATTGAATACCAAAGCTACGCCTTAGTAGTATAGATACTGTGGTTGTCTTGCACMGTCGTATACTTGTTGTTCTCTACCATGAACCTGATAAAGAGGTAGTTAAATAGAGGCTAGATTTTCCCTACTGATCGCTGAAGGTATGACTATGAAGTAGTATTTTGAGATTGGACCAACATGGTGGTGTTATGGAATAATTCTAAGCAAATTTTTACTGTTAAGTATTTTATATCATGATTGCATAAAGATCTGTAAAAAGAAACATACAAGCAGCTAGTGTTTATGCTTTATATTATACTGGAAGGCATATCAAGAGATTTTAGTCAGAAATGTGACAAAGCGGTAAAAGTGACAAAATAACGTTTACTGCCTTAATTACAGAACTTCACAGCTGGTCTTGTATCCAAAAATACCAAGGCATTATTATTTATGCAGTCTCTCTCTCCCTATTTCTCTTGACTGTTAGGGTTTTTTTTCCAGCATCATCAGCCTATCCATGTCTTCAGCTTGTTCCTGTTTTTTGTAAATAGGCCACACATTTCTAAACTTTATTCAGTTGCTGCTAGTTGGGGCTCAAATTTAGATCCTTTGTTACCCGCTAGTGTTTTTTTACTAGTCTTTATAAAAATTGTTGCACCTTAGTTTTGGTAGATTAACACAAACTGTTCTTTGGTCTCTTATGTGTCCACTGCATTTGCCAATTTATTACGGTAGCAAAGTAAGAGAATGCTCTGATATAAATACATGTCCTAGGAATAAGCTCTGAGCATACTGGCTCTCAGCAAATGGCTTTACATGAAATTAAAATGAAGTATGGTTGGAAATTGATCATTGGAAATGCAGGTTATTAAGTCCTGTATCATATATTTGTCAGATATAATTTCCATTAATCGTTTTAGGGTATCCCCACAGAGGAGAGTATTGCAAAATTTTAAAGAATCTTTAAAACCGAAGAGAGTTTAAAGTAAATCTGAGAGTTAGGAACAAACTAAGCCAAAAGCCCAAAATTTTCACCTTTTTTGTGAATTTTGTCAGTGACTGAACAGTATCAGGTTTCCATATGTTACATTCTCTACGGGCACATAAGAAGATACATACTTAAAGCTAAAGAAAGAACTCTAAAAAGGTTTAGTAATTTAATTCTTGGTGTTAATTGTTCCAAATGCACCAAACTATACCATCGGGTTTTTTTTGTTATTGTTTTTCGTTTTTGTGTTGCAGCTTTTCAGAAGTGTCAGTGTASTGTACAAATATGTAGTGCACTTTAAAAAGTTATTTAACTTCGTTTTTGCACTGCGTTCTATGTCAAGTTTCTGAAAAAAGAAGTTGTTTATTTTGATGGTCTGCTCAGTACATGGCAGTGCTTCAGAAAATAAGGCTACACGTACAGCTGTTCCACTGTTTGTTTTTATTTTGGAAGATGATGATGTGTCTTGAAGTTCCAGCAGGTCTCTCAAATCTGAGTCTTCTATATCATTTTTTTTGCAGATTTTGCAAAACGGTTCCTTAAAATTATTTCTAGTATCAGATAATTAACATTAATTAGATTAGCACCTGCCTGCTCTTCAAAGACCTTACCGAAAGTCTAGACTTACCTTAATTTTAATTTCCATTTTACTTCTAAGGCTCCCATTGGCAGGAATAAGAACTTCTTGTGTGTTGCACTGTAATATTATTGTTATAATTGATGAGGGATCATTGCTTCATAATAATTCATTGTTTTTAAAGTCTGCTGTACCATTTCCATGGTTGTTGCACACAATATGAACTATGCAGATTATTTTTTGTATGTTGAACTGATTTATTCTGTGAAATGGAGACGTGTCTAAAAATACTTGAGATGAAAGAGTGCATTTGGAATAAACGTCTGCTTTAGCAGTGGCAGCTCCAAGTGCTCTTCCCTGCCTGCTGTTAGCTGGAGTAGAATATTGCATGCCAGTGTGCTGGATTTATGGGCCTGGAGGCTTCCCCTCTCTCTCTCTGTGAATTGTAATTTTCTTACTGACCTTGGAGTACATGGATCTTGGACTGTTGTCCCTGTACAGAACTGGGGCTTTGTGTATCCTGTTTCTGAGAGCCTGCTTGGAAGATCACAACAGGTTAATCGTATCTGTACTCAGAGCTCTAATGCTTGATTATCTTGTCTGTAGTTTCTCTCTGAGTTTCTGASTCATGTAGCTTTCTCACTGTTAGGTTTCTTAATGCGCTTTAGGGGAAAAACTATATTAAGTCTTGTTTTCCTGTCTTTGCTTTCTCACTCTTTACACTGAAGACCAACTTAATTCTTTCTGTAAACAGCAGCTTTCATAAACTTGGAATTTATGTCTGCTTGCATTCTAACTTCGGTCCCCTTTAATGATCTGCTTATGATTTCATCCCATGGGATCAGAGATGCCTGTTGCTGTCTTCCTTGCTYGAGCATTGTTATCTCAAATAACTCATCTAATATGTGACTAACTCTTTAGTCATATGAAAAGGATAATAACTAAGCTTTTAAAGGCATTTTATTTTTAGATCTGTGTTAGCCTGCAATTTTGGCTAAAGTTGGAGTAAAACAAAGATCACTGTCATCAGAGAGCTCTTTATATGCAGGGGCATTATTCTTTTAATGGTCAGAAAGGTAAAATACCTGTTGTTGGTGTTGTGAAAGGATGACAGAGTCGATCATTTTAGGTTTGTTTTTAACTTTTAACATTTAACATTATTTAAGATAAAACTGTATATTTAGAAGATGGCTTTCTTTGGGTAGTTTGTGTTTGAGATAATCAGAAAGGAAAAGAACTTAGGAGAATTACACCCTAAGAAAGTTGAGACCTGTCAGTAGCGCTTATAGGAAGACAGCAGCAGTCCAGTCTGCAGGAAGCTGCCTTACATTGCCCATTAGTGAAAAGGTTTAACTTGACCTGGGATTCAAGTCTTGACTCTTGAGTTAAAAAGACTCAGAGCTTTCCAACGCAAGGACAAGGATATCAACAGAGAGATTCAACATATGAAACAAATGGAATAAAATAGCTGAGAACAACTACTAGAAATCAAAAGGCTGCATGGGCACATTTAACTGGTCAAAGTGGCTKCATGGCCACTGTCATCACCTTAGCTGCTACACAGCCAGATGTTCCTAACAATTCTCGCCAGAGCAGGACGCTGATTTTTAGCATGAGGTTAAAGCAGTAGGTGCTGCTTTTCCAAAGACCTTCCTGGCAGATCTGAGAGGTAGCTCCGGCCTGCCTGCATCCCTTTCAGCTGTCCTTGCTGCTCCTTAGTTATCTCTAGTAGTGGATTTAATGATGGTTTGTGACAGCTTTCTGTGGCAGGCTGCAAAGCTCTGCTCCATCTTCAGAGCAGYGTGCTGTAGTAGACTCGGTACTTGTAGAAGCATAAATCTTCCCAAAACAAAATTGATAAAAGGCAATAGTACATTTCCCCCTCACCCGTACCAACATTTTAAACATGGGGTGTTTCTTAAAACATCTCTGTGACTGGAAACTACAATTGTAAGAAGCTGCTGAATGGCTGTTACTAGTTCCTAAACTGTTCCAGTGTTTGGAAGTGAAAGAGACCTTCTGACTAGATACTAAATGGCAACTTGTCACCCTGGGTATGATGCAAGTTAAATAAGGGATATCTCTCATTCCMTACAACTTCCCGACTTTTCAAAGCTAACTTAATTGAGCACTATTCGTTATTTACCAGTAAAGCAATTATTTCACAAGCCTGATATTAGAGCTGGGGTGCTGACAGGTAACTTTCCAAGGCAGTGTTGGTTTTGGATCTACAGCAGTTGGCTGTGGGAGATGGCTTCCTTTGCTTCTGCAAGCTCYGTACAGGGTTTTGTTGGTGATTTGACACTGTGGGAACAGAATCACAGAATGGCAGAGATTGGAAGGGACCTCTAGAGATCAGCTAGTCCAACCCCTTGCTCCAGCAGGGACACCCAGAGCACAGAGTGGCATCCAGGTGGGTTGTGGAGACCTCCAGAGAAGGAGACTCCACAGCCTCCCTAGACAGCCTGTGCCAGGGCTCTGTCACCCTCACAGGAAAGAAGTTTTTCCTCACATGGAGCTGGAACTGCCTGTATATTAACTTATACCCATGACCCCTTGTGCGGTCACTGGCCACCACCGAGAAGAGTTTGGCCCCAACCTCTTTACATTTTCCTCTCAGGTATTTATACATATTGATCAGATCCTGTCTCAGTCTTCTGCAGGCTAAACAGGTCCAGCTCGCTTAGCCTTTCCTCATACAACAGATGCTCCAGTCCCTTAATCCTTCCTCTGTTGTACTTTGGAGATYGTTTGGAGTTGAGAATCTCAGAAGAAAATTCATGGGTGAAATAAGCTGTGTTCATGGTGTCTGACTAAACGCTAGGTGGCAGCCGGAGCTAGGGAACACCAGGAGGCCCAGGGTACGTTTTCACAGACACAATTCTGCTTTCACTTGTCCTTCACTCTCCTAGCCATAATTAAGGCAAAGCTGATAACAACTGAGAGTGTATTACTACAAGAACTGTTCTTCAAGTATTGTGGATTTGGGCTCTGTATGTCTGTGTCTTGTTACGAAAATGGAACAACTTCTGTTGTGTCAACTGCATTAACATTTCCTCTCTTTCGAAGTTTGTATWCTGGAAGATCGTCTTTTTGTCACAAGAACTCTTGAGTCCTAAAATGACATAAAAGCTTTATTTACAGTATCTGTACAACAGATGGCACTATATTTAAGACTGGACCCATTTATCCTGTGTTTTTGCTGTCATAAATTAGCAYGTGGCTTTTGGAAATCTTTTTCCATATCTAGCAGATAATCTGCTGGACATGAATGCAGAAATTTGCAAGCAAACACAGCAGCCCTGGGAATGCAAACCAGACACCAAAGAGTAGCTTTTTGTGATTGTAGATGTGTAACTGCTTTATTTTCTCAGGAAAAAAAAAAAAAAAAAAAAAAAAGGCTCTGGAGGGGAAAAAAAAAAGGGCTCAGAACAATATTTCTCCCCAAATGTGTTGTTTTGAGCCCACTCATTGTGTCTGCACTGTCATTGTACTGTATTGAAACAATATTTTTTCAGAACCTGTTGTAGTATGTATAGGTAACTCATTCCCCTATATGATTATTCTACAGCTCAGATCCTGCATCTTGTAAAAAAAACTTCTGTGATTGAGACTTTGCAGGGAACTGAAATGCCAGTACGTGGCTGYCCAAAGGCTAAGGGTTTATGTCAGCATGACCGGTTAAGGGTTGCCTCAACAGTCCTCTCAGGACCAGACGTGCCTGCCCTCCCCATTGCACATCTGGAGACGTCCCGCCAGGCAGGACATGCCTGGTGTTACCAAACTTCCAAGCASCTTTGCAGAGGCTACAGGTGCCTTGCGTGATACTAGCAGGCAGCAAAAGGAGAGGAATGGCAGGAGTGCYTGCAGCACTGTTTCAGTACAGGTCATAGTGACTTAGAGTCTCTGAGTTAATTTAGTGTGGGATAATCAGGACGTAACCTTCTTCCTTGATGACCTCTCTACTGTGGTGCTACACAAGTACTCTCACCTCCCTCCAGCTGTGCATCCATGCAAGGTCTCCTTTCGACAAGAGAAAAGCTAGCTCCAGATGAAATTCCTGGCAGCAGGACCTTGCCTAGGGATCAATGTACAAGGAGAGAGAGAGCTCCCAGTTGAGAGGAATGTGTCAATACGGGAAGAAGGAACCAACTAGGGAGTGCTTTGGGTCTGTGAGCGTGTTGAGTGGAGAGGGGCTGGCCAGAGGTGGCTGACAGCCGCACATAGCTGCAAAAAGGACAGGAGGTCCATTTGGGACTCATCTATCTAAATACCTATCTACAGGAAATTTCTCTAGTTTTAGATAGGTCATCCTTTTCCATGATTCTTTTCCATTTTCCATGATGTTCGCTTTTTTAAATTTTTTTTTTTTTTTTTTTTTTTTTTTTTTGCTCCCCTCCTTTTTTTTTCTCCTCTATAGCCGTATAGAAAGCTTATGTATAGCTCTTCGATTCTTCAATTCTCCTAAGCTTTTCTAGAACAAAATCCCAAATTAATTAATTTTTATGGGTTAATCAGGAGCACTTTATTTGCTATTCGTGATAGAAATCTTCAGATTACTAGATGTTGGCATTGGCTTTTTTTATGAAAAGAAGCTAAAAATGCTTATTATTTTCACCTCATTAGTGAAAGGTAAAAGTATTAAAAACTCTTTCTTTCTGCCTCATTATACTTGAAAACACAACTGCCTCCTGAACACTCCTGCAACAAAACACATTTAAATGAGAGCAATGGTTAATGTTGTTAGAAAATACTGTTTCAATATTTATTCAGATATAATTAGCAATGTATTAGCTGTGTGAAAGCAAATTGTATCCTACTTCATTTGTGCACCTTATTCAGCTCACTATGCTGAAATGGAATTCATAATGATAACCTATCATAGCAGGAAGAGGCTAAAAGGTTTAGTTCTGTAGACACTTGGCTCTTAATAGCTGTTTTCACAGAAAGGCAGTGCAAATACTGACATAATGATTCCCATCAAGAGTCATTTGTGTATTTGAAGCTGAAAAATGCTGCTCTTCAGTCAACAAAATCAGTTAAGAGGGAAAATATGTTTTCCACTAGGGGGTACTTATGCTCAGTTAATTTCTCACTTGCCTTTTTCCTAAGTACGATGCACAATCCATCCAAAGTCTTTCAGCCCCTTGCAAACCAGCCAACTACCAAGATTGATTCTTCATTTTTTTTTTTTTTTTTTGGAAATGTCAGCCCAACTCTATACTAAGCTAATTACTCTGTTTCATACTGCTCTATCACTGATATTTCCTTCGTTTTCTTCCCAAAGTTCTCATTGCA